TGTACGAGGTCAACATACAGAACGGGACCGCGCCCGCGCACGCCGCCGACAAAGACAAGGAGCCTTCGACGTCTGCTTCCATCGCTTGCACGTAGCACTACGAGCAATGGCGGACGCGCTTCATCTACGGCACCGCCAAGCGGCTGTGAACGCTCGCTGCTCGTGATATGAACTAAAGTGAAGTGTTCGTGTTGTAAAGTGGACCTATTGAGGCTGAAAGTGAAATAAGGCCGGTCAAAGCCGAATCGTTATGAACTTTTTTGATTATTTTGGCAATGGATATCGCAGGTAGAATGTACTCAATGAAAACCTGCTATTGAAGCACTTTGAACTGGTCTGCAGTTATGGCTGATTTTGTGCCACGAGCCATTGGTCGACTCTAATCTGACTGTAAATAATGATCAATTGAGATTGGAGTGAGCCTAGCCATATCTTTTTAAAATGACTAGGCGTGGAAGACAAATATTGCCAGTTGATTTTTAACCATGATGACTTGAAATAAAACCCCAATTTGTGTGGGAAATGTGCAGTCTGGATAAAGACGGGTGTGCGGATCTCCTATTGTACATAGTGCTAGGAGTCCATTAGCTAGCCAAGCAATTGTGGACTTTGCGAACGTGTGAGTGACTTGTGTTAGTGAACTCTATTGGATGTGATCTTACTTACCGCAGTGCATCGAATTTATTCATTGGTAAGTAAGAGGTGGTAACGGTTTTGATTATAAGTGAAGCAATGCGTCGTCGTGAATTGCCACCGTGGCGTTGTAGGTTTACCTTTACTGAAGATTTTTAAACAAGTTAGTAATTTGATATTTTCAGTCTTTACCTATTGGTTTATAAAAATGTCAAATTACCAATGGGAATCCTGGCTGGGTTTCGGGCCAACAGGATGTAGTAATTTTCACAAGTAATTCTATATGTTATCAATATTCTCAATGTTGTTTAATCATCTATTTGTCTTGAAATCATCAATGTAGATGATGGTGGACTTTTTACACTAAAGTTTGTCGAAAAACACTATTTTATGCAGGTTTAGCTTTTAATGAGACAAACTTATAGGTCTACCATGTGGTTCAACAAGAAAATTGGTAAAAATTAATGGGTGTAACATTTACAAAATACACCTATGGGTTGTGTAGATATTTCAACGATAACAAGCATTTTGACCCACTGAAGATAGTTTAGGTCAGATAAACTTCTCTAGGATAATCTACGTCTATAATTTAAATTGTAAGCAATGTCTGACTTTAAATTTTATAAGTAAAAATATATATTTTATTTAAATTCATATTCTCTAGATGTCTCGGGACGACGATCGGCATCGTGGCTACGTAAGTTTTGAATGCATTAGAATAGTGGATGCATTTTGATGAAAAATTTAAAAAAATATGTTTCTAGGTGTTGTTTTCGATGTTTGACAATAGCGGGGTCCGCTATTCTTTAAGTTGGTCGGTCTTTGCTTGCAGATTTCTGGCGGACGACGGCGGCAACAAGTAAGTTGGTTTACACAAAACACTGTCGTTTGCAAGGGTACTAATTAAATGCTCCGCTTAAATACAGTAACAAACATGCACATTTTAACCTTTAAAACAATACCCATATTGAACAAATTTAGTTTTAACTACCCGGTCTGTGAGCACGTAGAATTTAATCTTGGGGTCATTGGACAAAATTCTACGTGCTTGCAGACCAGACTATAGACGACTGATAACTCATTAACTGGAGAACAAATTAACAATGCGATGGACAGAAGCGCTGATGTAATCAAAACTGTGATATCTGTATTAATTCATGAAATAGTTCAATTTTAAATAGTAACTCCTTGCAAACGATTAGATAGTACAAAGTGGAAGAAATCCATTATTATTTTATAAAAACTATAAATACACCTCTTACAAAGTGCGATGTGTACTTAGATACTTGTTGATATTGTAAATTATTGGAATATACGGTAGGTTTGTTGTATCGTTTATTTCGCATTTTCTATCGGCTATCTCTACGTCATTGTGAAAGGTGTCATTTATAATTTCCAATGACTCACTCTCTTTGTTGCATAGGTATTACTTGACAACTTATTCATGGATCTCCCAAAATTATTATCAAAATCGGTTTAGCCGTTTGAAGATTACAATATTTGTGATATTTTTTGTGTTGTCCTTATCACACTTTCATAACAGTTTCATAACTAACAATTCCTTGTAGATATATACTAAAATTACTAAATTACCATCATCATACATAAAAAATGCAAACACAATCATCTTCCATGAAATAAATTGATGTTGTCTGTATTAAATGTTAATTTTTCAAAAGCTGTATGTAAAATTTTCCTAAACTAGCATAATATTATCTGTCTTCCTTTCTTATTGCATTTAATTTTAGCCATCTTCAATTTCAAACGAAAAACTAACTGCCTAATCTCTTCTACATTGACCATGATATTAAAGTTGTCAAGTAATACCTGTTACCCATGATTTGCATAGTATTTTTATTAAAAATATGCAAATGTCTTCTGCTTTTGATTAAAACAATTCAGGGTATCCTTTGCTTATATTTCCCGGATAATATTCGGTAGGTACCCGCACTTTTACTTAGATATAACGAAATGATTCCACCTAGATATAAGACTCAATGTAGTTGATGATAAGGACCTTCTCTATTGTAAGTTGTATATAACGATAGCCAATTGATTATTATATATGGAGATATATATCTGGAAAAAATATTAAAATTTGAAAAAAAAAAAGCGAAATAAATGTATATACAAAACATATTGTTTCATTTCTAGATTCTTAAGTCCTTGCAGTCCTCTTTACATTTTCAGGTATTACAAACAACATTGATTCCATTCCATTTTAAGCGTAGATTGAAACCAAAAAATCACAATATTATTCACACACACAATACAGTACATTAAATGATTCAGTAGCCTTTCTGGGATTTTCACTATGCTGACAACCCACCTATCTTTCTAATCTAAAGCTTTGAAAAACTCACTTATACTAGTCATATAACTTACAATAAATTACATGAGAGAGAAGAATTGAAACACAAGTAAACTTTAAAAGAAGTTTATTTTCATGTTAATAATACTTATAAAATAATAAATTAGACTATCTAATTAAAATCATGAGATTGGTCAAATTCAATACTGTATAACAAGATCCACAATAAATACCTGAAACAAAAAACATGTTTGAATTGTTTAGACATACAACAGTGACACAAGTGAATGGGTAGGCTATTATTTATTTACATGACTCTAATTTCATCATCAGGTTATTAATTAGTCTACTACAGGAGCACGACCAGAGGCAAATAGAGGATTTGACTACCTCCCACACTGGCCAGATAGTTTGGGAAACCTTTTACGACAGCCACAAGCTAATTATTTACAGTCAAATAGAGGATATCACACTCCTCGCTGGGTTGGCCGAAACAAATCATTCCTATAGATCGTTTCATCTACGAAGACGCGCCCCACCATTCTTCTGCTAATGTTTGACACGCTAAATGATCCATGAGTGCACACTAGGCATGGAAATGATTGCTATTTTCCGTTCATTTTCATTTCATGAAATGATGATTTTTATTCATGTGATTTCACATGTGAAATTTCACAGGCAATGATTTTTATTCGCAGTGTTAAAATACAGCTCTTTCATATAATGTGCTACTTTTAATGAAGTATGAATTATGATGAACGATTGCTAATTAGCTACCTACACAGATATGGATTAGAGTAGATACAGCAAGTTGATCGTCAAAGCGAGCCATTCCGATATGTCCAAATGGACATACATGGTCGAGTGATGTTCATGTAATCCGATTACAACAATCGGTTACGATGATTTTACGAGGACAGTAGTACGAACACGGTAGAAAGAAGAAATGATTCACGGATTGAGAATTGTAATTAACAGCACAAGTAACAAATAATTAATTTGAATAAAGTAGCAGTAGAAGAAGTATAAAGTAGCATTGTTTTTAATACATATCCTGCGATGTACTCTTAAGAGTTAAAACCATGGTCCCTGTATGTGGTGCACTCATACCGATCCCAAGGAACCGTACTTACTCATAACTTATGACACACACTGATCCGTGTATTCATACACCAGACAAGTTTTTGTATTGAAGGGTGAAAAAAATATCATCATTTTATTTTTTTAATTTTCATACAAAATAAATTTTATAAAATTGATTACACAGAAATTAAAATTCATCATTTCTATTTCTGCCCGGCCGGGAATCGAACCCGGGACCTCTCGGCATAGCAGTCCGTTCTGAACCACTACACCAAACGGCCGACAAGTTCGAGTGAATAGTCACAGTCACAGTTTGAGTGAATAGTCTTTATTTTATGAATGAACTAGCGGCCGCCCGCGACTTCGTACGCGTGGATCCCGTTTTACCCCCTTTTTCCGAATTTTCTTTGCTATAAACCTCACGGAGCCCGAGACCTTTCCAACGAATGCAAAACCGTGGAAATCGGTTCGTGCGTTCTGGAGTTATAGCGTCAGGGAGGAAAACCCGACTTATTTTTATATAGTAGATTACTAGTAGTACTATTTAACATAATGGAATAACGATCATTACTTTCATAAACATTAGGCACAACAAAAATAAATAATGTAGAATAACGTCTACCGCTACAAAATTATTTTAATCCACAGTCAGACTAGCTATANAAAAAAAAAAAGCGAAATAAATGTATATACAAAACATATTGTTTCATTTCTAGATTGTTAATTCCTTGCACTCTTTACATTTTCAGGTATTACACAGCTCACAACATTGATCCCATTCAATTTTAAGCATAGATTGAAACCACACACAATTCACACACACTATAAAGTACAAAGACATTATAAACAACTCATTAGTTAACCTTTCTGGGTTTTCACATTTTCTAATCTAAAGCATTGAAAAACTCACTCATACTAGTCATATAACAGTTTTCTCTTACAATAAATTGCATCAGAATAATGGAAACACACGTAAGCTTCAAAATAAGTTTATTTTCATGTTAATAATACTTATAAAATAATAAATTAGACTATCTAATTAAAATCATGAGATTGGTCAAATTCAATACTGTATAACAAGATCCACAATAAATACCTGAAACAAAAAACATGTTTGAATCGTTTAGACATACAACAGTGACACAAGTGAATGGGTAGGCTATTTATTTACATGACTCTAATTTCATCATCAGGTTATTAATTAGTCTACTACAGGAGCACGACCAGAGGCAAATGGAGGATTTGACTACCTCCCACACTGGCCAGATAGTTTGGGAAACCTTTTACGACAGCCACAAGCTAATTATTTACAGTCAAATAGAGGATATCACACTCCTCGCTGGGTTGGCCGAAACAAATCATCCCTCCTATATATAGATCGTTTCATCCACGAAGACGCGCCCCACCATTCTTCTGCTAATGTTTGACACGCTAAATGATCCATGAGTGCACACGCACACTACAATAATGCCGCTCGGATTGCTCGGATCAAACTCCCCGCACCCCTCGCTTCCCTCGACAAAAAATTGGTGGGGCGCGTCTTATATAACACTACCATGATTGAGGCAATACACCCGGTCCGGCGTCGAGCCGGTGTCGGTTATTTAAATCAATGGCCGCCGTCATTCATCCTATTATCACTTACCACTGTTGAGGCCACCATCAGCTGCTGTCTTCGTCCCTAGGATGTTGGGCTACCAATTTGAAGATGTAGGTGCTAGTACTAACCATGAGCTTAGAATCTAGTCACACCCCCCCGTGACATGGAATGTCAGGGGAAAAAGAAGCCTAGACACGCCAATGTCGAGCAGTCTGTGTATGGCTGGTCTTAGTCTCTATCACTTACCATGATAGTGACCCTCAGCTGCTGTCCAGCGTGGCCTGCAGCGCTAGCGTGGTGAAATGGAACTGAAATGAAATGGCTGGTCTTAGTCGCCGTAAAACTCACTATATCGCTGTAACACTTACCATTGATAGTGACCCTCAGCTGCTGTCCTTCAGCGTGGCTTGAAGCGCGCGTGGGCGCAACGCTTGTGGGCTGCTATAGTCTGGTCCGTTATAAGCTACCCATCCTTATCGCTCGCGCCTAATTATGATGCTATCGCGCTCGCACACTCACTGCGGGCGCCCGTCGCACAGTCGCGACAGCAATATAATTACGCGCGAGCGATAAGGATGGGTAGCTTGGGGTTATTGGACAAAATTCTACGTGCTCACGGACCGGGCTTTATATGCACCTGGCAAAGTAACTACTCGAGCAGTTTGTGTATGAATGGCGGGTCTTAATCAGTTAGCCTCCGTCACTTACCATGATAGTGACCCTCAGCTGCTGTCCTTCAGCGTGGCTTGAAGCGCGCGTTGGCGCAACGCTTGTGGTCTGCTAGATGCACCTGGCAAAGTAACTACTCGAGCAGTCTGTGTATGGCTGGTCTTAGCCAACAGCTTGAAGCTGCCAGTGACAACTGCTCGAGCAGTTGGTATTAACTGCTCAACAAATCTCAAGCGCGCGCGCCGTGGAATGAAGAAAGTGGGCGGAGCTAACTGCGCAAAAGCTGTCGACAGCTCGAGCAGTCAGTGTATGGCTGGCGACTGCTTGACCGCACGATGAAAATTCACCGTGCTGTCGACCGCCCGAATCAGTTGCAACTGCTCGAGCGGTTCGTGTATGTGCGTCCATAGAACTCTGCAGTTCACTGTGCAGTCGCAGCTTGAAGCTGTCGACCCTGACTGTTTCAAGCGGTCCGTGTATTGCCGGCCTTAGTCTCTGTCACTTACCATGATAGTGACCCTCAGCTGCTGTCCTCTTGTGTGGCCTGCAGTGCGAGCACGTGGTGTTGTAGCGCGACACTAAGCTCATGAACGGGCACGGGCGCGGCGGCGGGCGCTTGAGTAGAACGCGCGCGACGCTATGCACCGGGCAGAGTAACTGCTCCAGCAGTTTACGCTGCTAGACCTAGCACAGTAACAGCTCGACACGAACCGAGTACATTGCTCTGGCGCTGACTAAGAAATAATTCTTGTCTGCGCTAGATACAACACGCGGCGGATGTCTACGCGATACGATACGACACGTTAGTTAAGGAGAAAGGAGCTCAAGCAGTTGGCGTTACCAGGTGCAATTGACAGAGTTACTGCTTGAGCAGTTTCTGTATGGCTGGTCTAAGTCGCCGTAATTAATACTTATCAATGAGGGCTNCTAAGTTATCGGCTACCCAATCGAGCTTTGAGCAATATCGATATTATTAACAATTGTAAAGATATTCCATTCTTTCGAGGTGTTTATATGCGTGATGAATTGCCGAAGTACCCACTTTCAAAAGAATGTGGTATTATTAATCTAGACAGCTCAAAAAAATCAGGTTCTCACTGGGTAGCCTATGCAAAATACCATAAAAATATAATATATTTCGATAGCTATGGTAATTTGAAGCCACCGAAAGAATTCATTTCTTATGTTGGTACAAGTAATATAAAATACAATATTGAAAATATACAACAAAATCATCCTTTTAACTGCGGGCATTTATGTCTCCAATTTCTCAGAAACTTTTGGTCTGAAATACTTAATANCATGCCTAGTGCACACGCACACTACAATAATGACGTTCGGATTGCTCGGAGCACCCCGCGCTTCTCTCGACAAAAAATTGGTGGTGCGCGTCTTCGTGGATGAAACGATCTATAACACTACCATGATTGAGGCAATACACCCGGTCCGGCGTCGAGCCGATTTCGGTTATTTAAATAAATGGCCGCCGTCATTTATCCTATTATCACTTACCATTGTTGAGGCCACCATCAGCTGCTGTCTTCGTCCCTAGGATGTTGGGCTACCAATTTGAAGATGTAGGTGCTAGTAGGTACTAACCATGATCTTAGAATCTAGTCACACCCCAGAAGCCTAGACACGCCAATGTCGAGCAGTCTGTGTATGGCTGGTCTTAGTCTCTATCACTTACCATGATAGTGACCCTCAGCTGCTGTCCAGCGTGGCCTGCAGCGCTAGCGTGGTGAAATGGAACTGAAATTAAATGGCTGGTCTTAGTCGCCGTAACACTATGTCGCTGTAACACTTACGATGGTTGAAGCCACCCTATCAGCTGTTGTCTTTCAGCGTGGCTTCAAGCACGCGGACTGCTAGATGCACCTGGCAAAGTAACTACTCGAGCAGTCTGTGTATGGTGGTCTTAGTCTCTATCACTTACCATGATAGTGACCCTCAGCCGCTGTCGTCCAGCGTGGCCTGCAGCGCTAGCGTAGTGAAATGGAACTGAAATGAAATGGCTGGTCTTAGTCGCCGTAAAACTCACTTTGTCGCTGTAACACTTACCATGATAGTGACCCTCAGCTGATGTCCTTCAGCGTGTCTTGAAGCGCGCGGGGGCGCAACGCTTGTGGGCTGCTATAGTCTGGTCCGTTATAAGCTACCCATCCTTATCGCTCGCGCGTAATTATGTTGCTGTCGCACTCGCACACTCACTGCGGGCGCCCGTCGTACAGTCGCGACAGCAATATAATTACGCGCGAGCGATAAGGATGGGTAGCTTGGGGTCATTGGACAAAATTCTACGTGCTCACGGACCGAGCTTTAGATGCATCTGGCATAGTAACTACTCGAGCAGTCTGTGTCTTAGTCTCTATCACTTTCAAATTTCATAAATATACCTTACTTACCATGACAGTGACCCTCAGCTGCTGTCCTCTTGTGTGGCCTGTAGTGCGAGCACGTGGTGTTGTAGCGCGACACTGAGCTCGTAAACAGGCACGGGCGCGGCGGCGGGCGCTTGGGAAGAACGCGCGCGACGCTATGCACCGGGCAGAGTAACTGCTCGAGCAGTTTACGCTGCTAGACCTAGCACAGTAACAGCTCGACACGAACCGAGTACATTGCTCTGGCGCTGACTAAGAAATAATTCTTATCTGCGCTAGATACAACACGCGGCGGATGTCTACGCGAGACGATACGACACGTTAGTTAAGGAGAAAGAAGCTCAAGCTCAGTTCTCGTGGATGTCGCGTGAGCGACGGTTGTGTCTTGAGCCTACGCGAAATATCTAATTCAAAGACAAGGACTAAGCTATAAGTTAAAATAAGACAGGCATAGTGCACCGAGTTTGGACGTTAAGCGCAAGCGCAGGTTGCGCCGCCCACCAAAACCCCTTCCGCTACATTTCGGGACCGCCCACGCCGTGACTCATTACTATCATTGCCGTCGGCTGATAAAATAGGCCTAAACGATGCAGCGTTCTCCTGTGAAAGCGAAAGTTTATTATGGCTCTGAGCCGAATGTCGCTGACATGAAGGAGAATGTGAGTGTTGGCAGTTGGATTAATGCTCGCCAAAAGAAGACAAAGCGTGTAGAAGACTCAGATAGTGACTCCTGTGCAAGCCATGAGCCCAGGCGACAGAGAACTGACTGTTGCAGCTCGGAAATCATAGGAAAAACGCTAAATGAATTCAACGAGCAAATGAAGACGATGTCGTCGCTACTTAGTTCAATGAAAGAGGAGCAGAGAGTTATTTTCACAAAAATACACACTGATATTTCAGATATCAAAAGCGAGATAATTGATCTTAAAAAAACTAATGAAGAGATAGAAAAAGCGGTAGATTATCTGGGAGGAAAGTGTACAGAGATGGAGAAATCTGGAAAAGAAACGAAGCAAGACTGTTTGAGCAATGAAAACAAAATAAAAGATCTGCAACAAAGAAATGTATACATCGAGAAATGTAATAAGGCGCTGGAAGAACGAATAATGAGGCTGGAGCAGAAAGAACTAGAGTTGCAGATTGAACTTATAAACGTCCAAAAGCTGGAAGGAGAAAACTTATTAGCAACGGTAACTAAGATTGCACAGGAATTAAGCTTGAAGATAGAGGATGTTGAAAAAGTCTGGAGAATGCCTGGTGAAAGTAACACTAAGGGACCACGGCCTGTAATTGTCTCTTTGCGCTCGAGAGAAGCTCGTTCAGATTGGCTTAAGTGCAAGAAAATAGCAATTTCAAATAATAACATTTACAACAATGGAAACAACTCACGAATTTATATAAACGAGCATTTAACCCGTCAAATGCGACAGCTGTTCTGGAGTACAAAAACTAAACTGAAAGAAATATACAAATATATATGGATACAGAATGGGAGAATACTAATTAAGAAGAATGAAAGTGAGAAGAAAGTCTACCAAATAAATTTTGAGAGTGATATTGAAACCTATATTAAGAATAATCAGGAGTGATATAGGATACTTATAGATACTTACCTAAAAACCTACTTAAATATGGCATCTAACTTTATGTCCAACTACCAAGACCTAGAAGACTATGAATACAATAAATACACGGATCTAAACTTATGGTATAATTCGATAAATAGTAAACAAGGGAAACAGCTACGGATGATACACGTAAACGTGTGCTCTTTACGAAAGCATTTTAGTGAGCTCATAGCCACAATAAAAGCATGTCTACACAACCTAGATATAATATGCCTAACAGAAATTAATATAAAAAATGAAGAATTATGTAACTATCAATTGAGTGACTTTAATTTGCATTCATGGACAAGAGAAAACCGGCGAGGTGGCGGAATATTGATGTATGTGAGGAGCGATATTAATTTTACACCACAAGACCTGATCGTGAACCACTGCGAGATTATAGGCGGAGAGCTGCACACAAGGGAACATAGTACAACCATATTTGTTATCTATCGACCACCCAACACAAACAAGACGAACTTTATAATAGAATTAGAAACATTATTGAGTAAGGTGTCTAGAAAAAATAACGTGATTGTGATTGGAGACATTAATATTAACATCCTTGAGGAGAACCTGGACGGGAGTGCAAGTAAATACCTAGATATGCTGTGCGAAAAAGGATTGCAGTGTTGCATAAGGGACGTCACACGCGAGTGTGTAACTGCGGGACGGCGAGTAGCGTCATGCATCGACCATGTCTTCGTGCGGACTGCGGCGGCGGCGGGCTCACTCCGGGCGTACACAGTAACTAGCAGGGTCGCAGACCACTACATAACGGGTTTATCAGCTGATTTAGACACACCTAAAACGTGCCCATCGCCACGAAAATGCTTTAATAACAAAATGATTAGTGATTTGTTACGCGAAGTTGAATGGTCAGAATTATTAAGTTTAGAAGATCCCATTGAACTATATTGTCGTATTGCNGTTTCCGCCGTTTTGTTTAGGAGTTCCCATGGCCACCTCCCGACTCCATCATCAGACCAGCTCAATGGTACCATAATATTGCATTGTCATCGGACTTACACATGTATGCATTTCAGCTCAATAGGAAACCGGGAAGTGGGTCAATTTTAAGTTGCAAGATTTGACGACAGACACCAGACATGTGAAAGTAATAAAAAGCTTGTAAAAAGAAACTTTCAGATATTTGTTAACGAGTGATTTTTATTTCATTTTATTTATTAGAGCAATCAACAAGAAAAACACGCATTTTATGGACATTTTTAGATAATATTTACGTACGTTTTTTCTTCTTGTTTTAGAGTAAAAGTAGATTCCAGCCATTCTTCGTTGCCATCTCCTGACACGTCTGAAATTTTAATTATTAAAGTGTATTAAATAATTTTTATTTATTTAATAGGACAACCAACAAATAGGATTGAAACCATATTATTTAAACATAAAATATTTTAATTACTTAACTATTAGGTTGCTGCCATAAAATTATAGGTTGCTAAGGTATAGAAAAGTGACTAAGACATAATTATAGGTATAAGCGCTTACTCAGTCAGTGCCCGAGGAATGGTAGCGGCATGGGACGGGACTATTCCCACCTCTCGTTCCCACCACTGCAACTCCTGTGTAGCCAGAATCTACAGCTTGACCGCCACAAAAGCCAAAGTCAAGCTTGTCCCGGGGGAAAGTTAAACTGTCATTGGACCCGCAACGAAATTAATCAGAAGAACATAGGAGGAGTTCGAAATTAAGGTTCGACTTCCCTCCATTGCAAAGCGGATGACAGGTGACAAACAAAGGTTTAAAACCTTTAAGAAAAGATTAGATTAGTAGCGGCACGGGACGGGTGACATTGACATTATGACGTGACAGAGCACAGAAACTGAAGCCTCGCTGATGTTTGACGTCTCAAAAACACCCTCGCCGCTCCTATACCTCAGGCACTGACTGAGTTAAGTGCTAGATCTTTTTTTATCATGCTGTCAAAATACTTACCTGATTCTTGGTTCAATCCAGACGCGCTCAACGAATCCATGACTTTCATGCCACTTCTGGAAATAACAAAAAACCAGTTTGTATAATTTTGGCACGCGGCTTGAGGGGTCACTTTAAAATTAAAGATTGATGGTGAAATCGGGGAATAGGACAGTGCCAATCCATGTATGGAAGTTGGACCAAATGCTGCCCAGAATAAAACCATAGTGCATTTTGTTCCTCAGGCCAATACTAATTTGTAAACCGAAGCGCACTGAAATCTATCCCTGGAGTTAAGAGAAAAAGAGTTTTGTTTTGAATTATTTACATACAAAATATCATCGATGTATACGTACTACGCAAAGATTTCGCGATTTTGGCATTAAATAACACTCGCTACTAGTATTATATTATATCTGTGGTTGAACTTAACCATACTGCATCCGTACCTACACCTTACTTTAGTGCGACTTCGACATTCTTTCCTCTTATTACGTCTCACTTCTATCGAAGGGAACGTATTCAAAAATAGAAAAGTCGTATCGTAGAATACGATTTTTGATTGTCAAGGTTGTACCTTTATTCATTTGTCTTAAAGTGGGGAAAAAATCAAATGATACCGCGATCTAAAGTTGAACAGTGCCATCTATTGGTATAGTTTGTAAACTCACATACGTACTGATGTCACTCACCAATAGATGGCGCTTATAGTATTTATTTTACAAGCGCATGAGAAGGGTTTCGTTCGACGCCTCGAAAAACGANAGCCTATTGGGAGAGAGTCGCATTCCAGCGACGTGCGCTGTCAGCTCGATTGGGTTGTATCTTCAACATAATCAACGTAAATAAACCTCCGTTACAGCTCCGCAAAAAATTCGGAGACAGAGGCGGAGGCACGACTTGTTGCGAAAGTTTCACACATTTGGAGGCGGAGGCAAGGTGCTTTTACTACCACCACACAATTGATATTTTGTGCTATAATCCTGCCGAAGATGAGCGTTGCGGGAATTAGTTTTTATTACGTGAAGTCTAAGTCAGATGTAAATGAATTGCCCTACGACCTCCTTGAAAACATAATAAGTAAAAACCACCTTAAGAGAACTCTGCGAAAGCACTATTTATCGATGTGTCCATGACCTTACGAGTATTATTGTCCTCAGACGGTTACCTATGTTGTGTGTAATACCACAGAATAATAATAGATACTTGTAAAAAGCTAAGTGTTATGTTTCTAACATGAAATGTGAGTGTATGTGTTGTGTGTACCTATGTGTATGTGTGTATGTGTATGCGAGTGTGAGTGCGTGTTTACAAAGTGTTTTGGTTTAAACATTGGTCTTATGTTTGTGATTAACATTAAGATTTATTTAGTGTAAAAAGTCAGCGGCGGTCACCATTTTATCAGTAAGAAAAGAGGCCTTGGGGTGGGTTGTACCATCTTACTTTAACTTTAACAAACGTCAAGGGTCTGTCAAACTCCATATAGAAGGCACCGGTTGTTGTGGTCGAGATTGGGGTGGGGTGGTNTTTACACGCATGTAAAGTTGCCGTGCATGGCGATATAACTGGGTTTTTATTTAATTACGAAAAAACTACATGCTATATTTCCCAAACTGGCACACTGCCTAATTATATCTAACATTACCTTTCACCTAAAAAATATTTCACCAAGTTATCTCTAATAGCGACGAAGCAGGATTTTTTTTAACTTCAAATGCGATTTCCCAAAAATCACCATTTTCGACTTAACTCCGTTTTCACTGGGGGTACAGAAATAGCATCCTTCTCGAGTCAATGTTGATATAATTTAGACCTACAGTACAGTAGCGTACCTTTTGCAACTTTTTCCTAAATTAGGGAGTAAGGGCACTATGTAACAACGCGCGATCTTCTATGTGTAATGTATATACCTATGATATTTTGTTTCATTGGTCTACACTTAAGAATGTTCGTTCACAGAAATTTGTGGATAATAATCCAGTATAGGTATTAGACAAGAATATTCTTGTATATTAAAATTTATAAAAAAAAAGGAATCATTTATTTTATGCCCGCCAAAATGTCTTGCATTGGTCTTACGTATCGTATCGTTTACCTATCTTTTTTCAGAATTCCTTAAAGTTTTAAAGCGATTAGAGGTTGAATATGGAGGTAGTGCAACAATATATTTATCTTCGATGCGTTACATCTTAACTGCTAATCCAAAGTTAATTGAGGTGAGTTATGAAAAAACTTCGATTTAAGCGCTAGACTTTGACCTAAACCTAATGATATTTATGTTATTACATTATATGAATTAGGGGGCTTCATAGATAGGTAAATGGTTATGGCAAAAAGTCGTTACTAAAGTAGGTGGGTATCAATTTTAAATAAACAAACATCACTATCAAGATGTCTGTATTTTCACGAATTGATTAATTTAATACCTACACTGTTTCTAGCAGACAGTCAAAAATAATTAATTTATGTAGGTATGTTTTAAAAAATCAAAGTCATCACACTTATTTGCATACAAGGTAAGGACGACGGCAAATGTAGCTAACTAAACACTGTGGCAATAAAATTTACTTATAATGTATACATATAACTAGGTGCGAATTTGCGAACAAACGTAAATGGTCTTATGTCATAGCTGCAGTTTTCAATATTTTCCAATCATTTCAGGGAATATTGACAAGCACTGATCTCCTTGCCAAAGGTTACTCATATAACTTCATCAAGCCCTGGCTCGGTAATGGTCTTCTGACTTCTGAAGGTAGGTACCTATCTTAATATAATAAGCTCTACACTATCCACGTGATTTCCGCTTAATATGTAAACAAAAAAGATATTATAAAGTTTAAGTATAATCTTTAAATCTTTGTAATCCATTGGCTACAGTTATCTAAATTCAAATAATTACTTATTTTAGGTTCAAGATGGAAGGCGCATCGAAAATTCCTAACACCGGCATTCCATTTCAACATTTTGCAAAACTTCCTGCCCATATTCTGCAAGAATGGCAAAGTGCTGAGGGAAAAATTGCGAAATCTGGCCAACGGGTCACCAATAAATGTGTTCCCAATCATTGCATTGGCTGCACTTGATAATGTCACAGGTAATGTTATGGAAGTTACATTGCCTACATCAATAATATCTCAATGTATATTAGTATTTATTAAAACATACCGTTAGCGTTAAAAATCATAAGGGAACCCTTGGAAAATTGTAGTTATATACCAATACCTTCACAAGACTGGCAAAAAAGAAAAATTTCAACTTTTTTATATCTACCTACATGAATGCCCTTTTCATTGTTGTATTGTAGGTACGTCGTATCTATCTACATAGAAATGTTTAAGAGTGACACAAACGTAAAAAGAAACTGAGTAGGTACGACTTGGTACCTACTAAATATCATAATATTAACCATGACACACAGATGATACTTTTAAACTGACTGACTTTATGTATGACATGGTGCATCAGCATCCCGTGTTTGTAAATTAACACCTGTAATTACTTGCCAGTCATTTAATTACAGTCAATTGTATTAATGGCAATATAATGATTTTACATTGTCCTGTCAGCTTTTTATAACTAGCAATAATCAAGAGTATCAAGATAATTAATTAAGGACTGTATTATTTCCGCGAACTCTATAATAAATATTACTTGCATGTTTCATCATTCTGTCGGAAAATGATTGATTAAAATCGAGCTAAGTTGTACTTCCTAATAGTTCCTACTTTATAGCACTGCCAGCAGCACTTGTTACTGTAATTAACCTAAAAGGGGTAAAATGAGTAACGAATATCGAAAAAAATCAATGAACTTCGAATTTCCGAAATTCTAATTTGGAACTTTAAGAAATGTTCACGCCCAAATTGTGAAATGTGGATTGCCCATCCCGAGAATATTGTACATTATAATTATATGACTAATAATATTGTAAAAACAAATCCCCAACAGAATCCATAATGGGGGTAAGCGTCAACGCGCAAGAGGACAGCGAGTCAGAGTTTGTGAAAGCAGTTGAAGTGTAAGTACAGTAAATAGTCAACCTATCCAAATCCCTTAAAGTTACATAGAATGGTACTATGATTGATTTCGGAATTTAAAGTTTAAGATCATCAACCTATCACGTGAGCTGAGCCATAGTAGGTACATACAAAAAGTATGATGACGTGCTTAAAACTTAAACTTGTCTGAAGTAGTTACAAGCAAATAGGTAGGTAATAAGTACAATGCATCAAGTTGAACATCTATGAATGTAAATTACCTATTTATTTACCTATCTTAGCACTAATCCTACATGGCACACGACAATGAGAATGCTTGACACTTGATTTACATAACCTTGTTATCTTCGGGTATTTATAGTAAAGATATAACAGGAAAAATAAGAAATAAGTAGCTAACTAGCTATCTATAGATACCTACTACCTATAGATTGTAAGATAGTTTTATTAAGATTAAAGTCAAACTCGTCAGTCAGGTAGCAGTTAGGACTTCTTGTCAGGTGCTAAAAGTCCACATCAAGTAGGTATACAATGCATTTTTATTATTATTCACTTTGAATTTTTCTCCACATTTTTGGGTTATTACTTATTATTATTATTCAGCTGGTTAGCTTGAAGATGCAAGCTGTCATATTTGTGCATGGTGGAAACCATTTAATACTTATTACAAAAAATATCATAGTATCAATTTAAAACTAAATTATGATACAACACAATTTTACCATACCGAAATTATTATTAGTCTTCCTTCACTTTGCTCCCATTATCCACATAAAAACAAAGTACCTACTTATACAATATATTTCACTGAATATTTTTAGTAACATAGTACGAGGGCTCTCATTAAAATTCTCCTTGAAATAATCTTGCAGAATGTCAAGAATAGCTTCGATGCGGATGCGCAATCCGTTCGTGGCGCCCGACGTGGTGTTCAACTTATTGCCCTACAAAGCTGACCAGGACAAAGCCTTGGACATCCTCCACAGCCAAACCAGAAAGGTCATCAACGCAAGGCGAGAAGAACTGAAAAACTCTGAAATCACCGACTTGGGGGCTGATGCAGAAATTGGCAAGTTAAAAATTTGGAGTAATCTTTTTTAAGAATCTAAAAAGCGAAAAATTATGACTGTGAATGTGCATGTGTCGCTATGCTATAAATAGATGTTTATCCTATTGTTTTATACTAAAGTTTAGGTTAGGTTAGAGAGGTCACAAGTAACAGGTACATACCTCAGACGTTATACAAGCGTCAGTGATGCTTTCAATGAATTGTTTTGTTACTACCTGCAGAATTTTTTAGAATAGATACATGTAGCTAAAGATATCTTTAGTAACATATTCACGATTTTTCAGGATTAAAAAACAAACACGCATTTTTGGATCTATTGCTATTAGCAGAAGTTGATGGTAAAAAACTTAGCGATGAACATATGAGAGAAGAAGTGGACACTTTTATGTTTGAAGTAAGTAAATAAACGAAAGATATATAGAAATACACTATTCACAGTAACATTATGTACAGGCACTCTATACAATAATAGATAAGAGTCTGGTCTTCTTCTTCTTGTCGTGTCGACAACAAACCTACACAGCGTCAGCCCAAAACTCCGCCACAAGAGTGGCGTTGTCAGTAGCACAATTTGATAAGAGTCTGGTAGTAGGTCTACTTAATTGAAGTTCTTAAACCAGTGCATACTACCAATACTACTTCTATTATGCAGTATGATGAAGAGCCTTATCCTTAATGCACGAGACTTTCTGATGTTAGATGCAAGTTAATAAGGGACTTAACACTTACTTAATAATGATAACCATTTCCGCAGGGCCACGACACAACAACAGCCGGTCTGGCTTATTGTGTTTACTGCCTTTCAAACCATGAAGACGTTCAAGAAAAGATTTTTGACGAACAGAAAGCCATATTTGGCGATGATTTTGAAAGGAATCCTACATACAGGTAAGAGCACCATACTACTTCGATCGTTTCAACCAAATGACGTCCACAGCTGGACATGGCCTCCCCCAAGGTTTTCCACAATAATGAACGGTCCTGCGCTGCCCGCATCCAGGCTCTTCCCGCGACCTTTACCAGATCGTCGGTCCACCTAGTTAGGAGGCTTGCCTACGTTACGTCTTCTATCCCGTGGTCACCACTCGAGAACTTTCCTACCCCAACTACTTACTACCATACTACTCTAATTACTTAATATTATAGGTAAATGTAGCAGGAAGGCGCTGGATGCAGGCCGCTAGCTAACCAACTGGGCGATTTGAAAATCATTGGGGGAGGCCTATGTTCAGCAGGTGACGTCCCGGAGGCTGAAATGATAATGATTACAAATGATTTTACAAAGTTTGTAAAATTAGAAAACCTTCGCTTTAACTGCTCGTGTAAATTTTGATTTTAGTGAACTGCATCAAATGAAATATTTGGATTTGGTAATCAAGGAATCTTTGCGCTTATTTCCTTCTGTGCCTCTGATTGGGAGAGAAATCGATCGAGATGTAGGTGAGTTATAAGTAATTCCTACTTTGTGGAAAACACAGTAATATACTTTTTATTACGATGAAAAAACAAAATCACATACAGGTAGTGTGATTAAAATTTTGTTTTCCGAAATCAGTTGAATAGCAACAAACCACACAAGCTTGAAGACGATACATTTAAATGCTGAATACATGAACGTCGAGAAAAATCTAAAATTTGTACATGCATGTCAACAACAGACAACACGACAACTCCCTATGCTCTCTGTCTGATAAACATTACCTTTTACTTACCCATACCGTCCATGACGTCGACGTCTTTGTCATTATTATTTACCTAGTATAATAATATTTTGAAATTAAATTATGATTGTTTCTGTCTACTAACCATATTAAATAGCTAAATAGCAAACTGACAACATTTAAATGTAATTTCAAATTGGCATTGTGAGCGCTTTCAATCGACCTGTAAGCTTACTTGCAAAATTTAAAGTAAATAAAAAGAATGAATAATACACACTGTTTGTCTCCCACAGATATCGCTGGACATCGCCTACCAAAGGGCACTACTATGGTGATAGACTTCTTCAACATGCAGCGAAACGCTGAGCTTTACGAAGACCCCCTAGAATTCCGGCCTGAACGGTTCGAGAATATCAATAGGAACCCCTTCTTTTGGCTGGCTTTCAGCGCGGGACCCAGAAACTGTATCGGTAATAATGTTTTATTCTCACGATATTAATTATGTAGGTACCTACCTATTCGCAGATTGGCACAAATACTTTTCAAAATTTTCAGTGGCAGGCACTAATCAAACTTTTAGGAAGGCCTGTTGCTCGACATTATTTCAAATGGATGATTTTCATAAATAGGTTACATTACATACAACTGATGCTCAGAGCAGACGCATTGCAACCGGAAGGACTTCGGTTAATTTTCCACAACTACTTATACTTAGTTGTAAAACTTTCAACGCTGTTTTTAGCAGACGCTACCACCAGAGTATTAGCTATGGTAGCTAAGCGGTAGCTAAGCTGTAGCGATGGCGTACAACGCCTAAAAACAGCGTTGAAAGTTAGTTAAGTTTAAGGAAGTCATGTAGGTACTAAGATTTTGATTTACAAAAAACCACAACAAACTGACCGACTATAAAGATACCTAAAGGTCGTTTATAAACTGGTCTCTAGTTTTTGTCAAGATAAACGGCGTATTGGTGTTAATTATATTATTTTGACCTATCTCAAAAATGTTGACGTCATAGTTTGGATAAAATATTAATAACTTTTTATGAATGACAGACTTGAATTATCTACTTTATTATTACGATAATAATATGTAAGGAAGCAACTTACAATAATAATAATATCTTACTTACCTACTTACTTAGTGCCATCGGCTCTTTGCTTGCAGGTCAGAAGTTCGCGCTAATGGAAATGAAGGTCACTTTATCCGAGATCGTCAAAAACTTCAAGATATTACCATACGGTGAAGAACCAGAGCTGGGGGCTGACCTGATACTTCGATCTCGCAATGGTATAAAAGTTATACTTGAAACTAGATAGCCCAAGTTTAAATAGCTCATTTTATCCCTGGGTTGCACTTATTCTTCTTCTTTTTAATCTTCTTCTAAACTTTCTGACATTAACTATTTACTTTTATGATTTTTATTTATACCTAATTTAGTTAGGTACAGTTAGAGTTAAGGTGATGCAACTCAGCAAAGTACAATAAACTTTATCTGTTAATTTCGTACTTAATTTATTAAATATTCTGACAAAACACTTTTGTTCTTTTCTTACATCTCCCAAACTCGTTACTAGAGTAGAAGAAAGAGACAACATAGGCATTAAATTGAATAACACAGATATTATTATACTGACACAATTACCTTATCGACAGTATTTTCTCACAAGTGATTGTGATTGATGAAGCCTTCGTTATCAATATAGCTATTGACCTACTTAAAGTAGACCGAATCCTTATTTTTTTTACTCGAAGTACCTATTCTATATAATGTTGTAATGGCCAATAAGTTGATTTCCACATTTTACTAAAAAAAATCAAAATGTCATTTTGACAGTTATGAAAATGACACTGACAAGACAAGTTAGCTTCTAAAAAAAACGCAATCTCTCTCTTTTTGTTTGTTTTTTGTGTAAAGTAAAATTTGGTAAAATTACTAAAAATAAACGAAAGTTAAATAATGTAAAATATCCCCTGTATGTCATAATAACGGAGATATAAATTAGATTTTTTGGCAAAATGTCGTCGGAAAGCTTGAATTTAGCTCGACGTAAACTAAACGAAGCTCTTGGTGAGAAATCAATCAAATACTTTAACCACATGAAGCAATGGTTTCGTATGAAACTTACTAAAGAAGAGTTCGACTTAGAGGCACGGGCTTTACTGAGTGTTGACCAGGTTCATTACCACAACGAGTTTCTGCTCGCGTTGCTGAATAAAGTGGAAGGTTTGGCTGAAACTTCACTGACCATTGCTCAGGAGAAAGCAAGTTCTCATAACAGAAACAGCAGGAGACATAAGCGTACGTCGCGTACATCAGAGAAATCTAACTTCGAGACGGTTGATTTCTTGGATTATTTGCCGCCTAATTCGCCGCCAGGCGCTGGAAGCGATGGAGTCAAGTATGCAACACAGGTATGTGCTGTTTTTGTTACTTTTCATAGTCTTATATTTGTATCTTCTAAGGCTACAGTTCTTAAACTGTATCTAGTCAATGTAGTACCTAACATTGTAATTAACTAATGTCACAATTTTCCAGGAAATATTTCTACCAGATCATGCACTCGTTGTGGGCCGATTTATGCTGGCAGCCTGGGAACTCGGCCTGGAAGGCGCTGATGATGACGCAGCTGACATCATGGTGGTTGCCGTCCAAAACTTCCTCAAGAACGTCATCACAGGGATTGTAACTCAACGGAAAGGCTATAAGACAAGAAATAAACATTTTATTTATGATGTCGGAGGAGACGTTCCTAATATGTGGCTCAGGAACTCATCGAAGTTGTATGACCCTCAGTTTGAGGGAAGAGTGAATGTAGAAGATGGAGCAGATGGTTTGGCTCCGAGGTGTCCACCGACTATTGATGAAGTTGAACATTCTGCTGCCATGGAGATTGCTTGCAGGTAATTAATTGCAGTATTATACACAGTTGTTTCTGAATAGACTGCAAATTATCAAAATAATAAGACTATCGCATCTGATATTGTCTATTTTACAATTTTCTAGCAATCTTTACCCCCAATATTTGTCCCAAATTAGTTATATTTTGTTAGCTAAATGCTAATTAGTAATTATACAATATTTTTTTACAGCTTACCAAACACAGAGCCAAATGATGACAGGCTCACTATAAATGAATTCTACACCACATTGCAAACACACCGGAATATCATTGCGTGTCATTCAGTATATGCTGCCAACATGGAACGATTAGCATTGATGTTAAACCACCCTAGTTACTAAGGCTTTAGGCTAAGAGACAATTAGAAATTAAGTATAACAATAAAACAAAATATGAACTTTTTTGTTTTATTAATATAAATAAACTATAAAACAAAATAAAGCTTAAATAATAAAAATACTTAACATCTATTCTATCCTAACACTTAGTTAAAATAAAAAACAATGTACAAAAGCAATGGAATTAATTCTTCAATATTAACATTATTATGGTTATTATTCAATAAGCATAGGAAATTGCTGCTAAATTATTTTTTGATATTAACATAACCATTGCTGCTATAAACTTGTATCACATTAACATAAAAGGAGGAATACTTAAAATTTCCAAAATTCAAACTTAACTACTACAATTACCCACCTTTTAATTCTTTTAAACTTTTTAACACCGTTTTTGCTAATAAATGCTTCGTCACTGTCAAGTAATTTTACTGAGATGAAAAGAAACACTATAATACAACTGAGCACCTGGCAGCCGTGACGTCACATATCCGCTCTGGACGGGGCGAACGCGGTGAGATGCGGTTGAGTGCGAGGGAGAGTCGCATTAGAGCAGTGGTTCTTAACCTTTAAGTCACGAGGGACCATTTTACCATATTTCTGTTGTCAGGGACCACTTTTTTTTTAAATCCTACCCGAAAGGGGAGGTCGATTTCTCGCCCACTGTGCGCTGTGTTGACTCACTCATCACGTCACGTCACTTGTTTATTACGATGTCTTCGCGGACCACTAGGAATGCCTCCAGGGACCACCGGTTAAGAACCACTGCATTAGAGCGAGGTGCGCAGTTAGCTTGCTTGCATGAATAAGGGGGTTAGACATTGTGAACTTTGTATGCTCTAAAACGAATGGTATTTATAACTTGGTATCCCTACGGCGATCCGCTCGCTTCAGAAGGGGACTGGACCGTCACACTCGGGACTGCTCGCATCATTTGCGGCGAAGCCCTAGGGCTCCTACTTACGCTTCTGCTCCTACTCCTAGCCACTGGCCCCAGTTCCTGTATCTCGATGATTTCTGGTTCCTCCGGTGGGGCAGTTCCTAAGAACCGGCGCTTCTTCCATACCACAATGCCAAGGACGCAGAGGAATGCAGCTATTCCGATCACTCCGAAGGTGATGCCGGTCGCTGACGCTGTTGACATGGTATACAGGCCTGTAGGACAGGTAGGTCGTTATTTATCTATGTAATGTAAATAATGTAATGATGACATGCATATTAGTTAGTGAATTCATATTTTACGGCGACATTCAGTTAAATTATAAACTGAAATCCTTATAGAAAAGTAGACAAATTATAATCCCTGACAAATTAACCATGCTTCTACAGAGGTGTCTGGTCTCAATGATTTTTAACAATCAATTTTAAACTGTGTGCCCCACTTGAGAATCGAACCCAGAACCTCGCCTCGCGTCTCACTCGGTAACCGTCTCATGTGCATCGTTTCTCTACATTGGATAATAATTATTATTTGTAGGTGGTTTCAATACCATCGAAAGTGCTTCCTAACAAAAATAATGTTAGGACAAACCTTCAACTTGAAGGCTGATGACGTCAATGTGTTCCTTGCCATCATCGAGCCCGGCGCCGCAAGTCCACAGGCCAACGTCCTCATACTTCACTTTGCGGATTGTCACTGCGCAGTCGCCGCGGTCTATACTCTTGTTCTGCGGGAAGTAGTACTTGCCCAGGATCGGACTGGAATCGGAAAGGTGACGTTTAAATAAAGTAATTCGAATGAGGGTTCTGCCTGTCATTAATCATCATCATTTCAGCCATAGGACGTAGGCGTCCCTCAATGATTTCCACAAAGGCCGGTTAGGCCGGCCTTTCATTATTACCTACTTATTGGTTTACTTATTGCTGTATGTAAGCCTTTCACGTTGAGCGACAAAGAATACGATTTACTGCTTTCTTTAGCAATTTGCTATACCGTTCTTATTAGTTCCATTAATAGACCCAGTATGAATTTACTATATTTAAAAGTACTTAACTACTTATTTATTTGTAACATGCTTCTGACTGCAAGTTTAGCCGACGTTAATTCATATCAATTTTCTCAATGAAAACGGAAATGATAGAACCTATGCGTACAAGTAAGTACTTTAAATTGTCTAATTAACATTAGATACATTACATTGGACTTCTTCACCCAAAAAAAAACCCACTGGAGAATCGAATTCAAATGTGGCATTAAAATAAATGTGTTATTGGCCATTTCAGTAATAGGTAAGACCTACTTACTTACTTTTCTACTGTAATTGCAGAACTGATGCTGAAAGGCGTCCCTCCATTAGGAGGTTCAAATCTGCAGTAGCTCATCGGAATCATTCCCTTTGTCGTAGAACATTCCAAGGTCACCGTCTTCCCATGCACCGCAGTTATATTAGGCCTGATTGCAGCCACTTGGCTCACGACTCGAACTTGTATGGACTGCATGATCTCCAAGCCAGTGTTCGAGCGCCCTATGTGGCATATCCATTCACCGCTGTCCAGTTTTGTCGCCTTGATTTTGACGGCGCAGTGGCCGTTGTTTAGGCTACCGCCTGAAAACCTGAAATTACATAGTTTGGTACAATTTAAATAAAACTTAATTTCCACCCCTGTTATGGTCAATCAAATCCACAGGTTGTCGTTTAAAAATATTGTTTTATTGCTTGGCATGGTTCCACTCATGCTAGGATTTTGGTAAGTCACAGTATAACTACCCGAGTATTCCCATAGAAAAACCGTTGAGCTCAAATTAAAGTTCACCTTTGTCACCCGGGAATTATTAGATTAGAGGTGGTTTTTCAGACAAATAAGTTTTTAAGATAAGATTCAGTCATAACAATGTTTACCTACCATGTTATTAGTGCAAAAATAGACTGACCGCCTATCTTGTTGTTTATTTTGCTCAGTATATTTTAAAAGTTTATTTTGTAAAGTAAGCGCAATACTTAATTATTGAAATATTTAACGGTAAAATAAAAAATAATTATAATAATGCTAACAGAAAATTACTTACGAGTATCTCCGTCCACTTGGATGAATAAATCCACAATAAGTCATAGGCATATCCGTTTGGCACTGTATGTTTATGTACTCGTTTTCAAGAGTCAATATCGTTACTCCATCATCCGTATCGAAAACTCTGTACGCTGTGAAAAAAAATAATGAATAATAAACACCAAACTAACTTATCACAGCACTTTATAGCTATTAACTACTAATAACTATCACGTACCGCGCACTGTTATTGTAGATGTATAGATAATTGCAAGGAACAAAATCAGCAACTGATCTTTGTAAATCATTTTTCATCTGTCAGAAACCGTCCACCACCGAGTTATATCGCGGAGGCAACTACCCTCATAGCGAGGTGATAGATAAGTGCGGTTATGTCAATAGGTCGTTACTTGACGACTGATTACACGACGACTGAATGGACTCATCTATGCCGACCTGTAGTGCTCACTAACGACAATATTACAATGTTTACCGATATTACAGCTTCCAAATACTATCTTGAACTGAGCAAAAAGTACTCGTATTAACGTTTATTATTTAAGACTTACTTGAACGAATTGTAAAGTGCATCGCTTTTTCTTTGTCGCTATTCTTAAGTATCCGGCTTACAAAATCTACATAGAAGTTGTAGCTCAAAAATGATAAGTATAGTCTAGTTACGGTAATTAGCTCCTATTAACCGCTTAATGCAAATAAAAGAATACATTGACTTATCTAAAACAAATTTGAATGAACGAAGTAATTGTTCTTAATGATTTACAAAGCGAATTCGGTGAAGTAAAAGAAAAAATATATCTCTAAAACATTTATTTCACATTCATCCTGTCGTCATATATCTACATTCTTATAATACACAACATTTATATTATTTTCTTCTATTTCTACCGAGTCCTTTCAGTGTCTTTTTACTTCTGTCTGCTTTATTGTCTGTGGACAGTTCTTGCTGGAGTTTCTTCAACATTTGCGGAGTGATGAGACCCTGGAAACAATTTAGAAATTAGTTATTTCTGGAAAAAGAGGAATGGAGAAACTACAATTAACTGTAAAAAAGTCATGCTAAAGTGAGTCATTCATAAAAATAACTGATTTTCAGCGTCACACAATTTCCACCAATGAAAAACATGGTAATTTAGTAATTTTAATTTTATTACATATACATCATATTCCGTTGCGGAATTCGAATCCTCGATCGCTAATTTTTTAATGAAAAATACTAATTAATGCAGTATAAACCATAAACATTAAATGTAACAACTCACTCTTGCAACAAGCATGTCCGACAGTTTTCCCTTTGCTTCTTCAGTCTTTCCCTGTGCGAAGGGCGCTGCTTTAGTAGGTTTCCTCTTTGCTTCGAGGTCCATTCCTTCAGGATCTTCGCGGAGAATTTGCTCAGAGTTCCTTAGTAACCTAAAGACAGAGATCGATGCGTTAATATTTATACAGGGTGTTAGATAAATGGGTATATGAGCCGACACTAGCCCATGTTAACATGGGCATATAAATGGTATGGTGAAGTCAGAAATTTGATATCATCATTTTAATTTTTTAAATTTTCATACAAAATACATTTTATAAAATCCGATTTGTATGAAAATTAAAATACCTAATTAAAATGGAGATATCAATTTTCTGACTTCACCATACCATTTANGGGTGGTGCAATTCAACCTAAGTGTTTTACTTGGCGTGCCGTCGTCTGTACCTATACGTATAATGTTATTTAGAGGCTATGTAATAACAGTATTGTGAGAACTGCTGCCGACAAACTGTGTCACAGTTTGGCAGAAAATATTAATGTTTACTGTGTGTATTTATATGGAAAATAAATAAATAAAATAAATAAAACTTATTTGAATTTAATTATTTATTTTCAAAGTGAATATACAACTAATATACGTCGGCCGTTTGGTGTAGTGGTTCAGAACGGACTAATATGCCGAGAGGTCCCGGGTTCGATTCCCGGCCGGGTAGAAATTGAAATTATGAATTTTAATTTCTGTGACGGGTCTGTCTGGGTGTTTTCTATGTATAAATAGTATAAAATATATATGTATTTACAAAAAAAAAGTATTTAAGTATGTTTAAATCCGTTGTCTAGTACTCATAGTACCTACCTACAAGCTTTGCTTAGTTTGGGGCTAACGGCGAAGTGTCAAATGTCCAAGGATATTTATTATTATTTATATAATGTGAATATTTCAAGTGTTATTGCCGTTATTAATATCGAACAAAAACGGAAAAAAATATTTTAAATACTTTTTTTAGGGTGCATGCCGTAGCCAAATGGCAAAAAACGGAACCCTTATAGATTCTTTAAATATTTAATTATTGTTGTTATATCCGACAATAGAGAATACATCATCTGTGAAAATTTCAACTGTCAAGCTGTTAAGGCTGTTTTACACGTGTTATGTAGATAAGTAAGTAGGTAACTAAGTTAATAATTTAGTTACCTAAAATATCATAATGTAGTTAGGTACTTATAAATCAGCCTTTACATTACAGTTCTTCGAGGTTTTAGTAATAGGCCCCGGTTTTAGGGTTCTGTAGTTATTTAGTATTTACCCTTTGGGTACGGAACCCTAAATGTAGTAAAGGAAAGTAAATAAACAAAATAAAACCTACTCAGATTTGATGATAACTGGCACTTCTGATCTTTTTCTCAAAGCCATGTGAGCGATTTCGGTAGAGGCACCCAATTCTGAAACAAAGTCCTCATCATCATCATCATCACATTCATCACCTAGGCCAGCGGTTCCCAAACTTATTTAGTCTACTGCCCACTTTGAGAATAAATTATTTTTTAGCGCCCCCCATTTTTGTAGTCAAGAGTCGATCTCAGTCGATGTCTAAGAGTCCTCCTAGTAGATGACGCCTCCCAAACCTCTACACAACGTCCCGATTTTTTTTTCTGGGTCTCTTACCGCCCCCCTTTAAGCCTGCAGCGCCCACAAGGGGGCGTTATCGCCCACTTTGGGAAAGACTGACCTAGGCCATAAGCTGGCTATAGATCGTTTCATCCACTCGGACGCTCCCCAGCAATGTTTGGTCCCGGTCGCGCGGGGTGCGGGGAGTGTGGTCCGAGCAATCCGTAAGGCATTATAGTGTGCCTGTGCACTAATGGAGCATTTAGCGTGTACCGATAACACTCAAACATTAGCGGAAGAATGGTGGGGCGCGTCCGAGTGGATGAAAGGTCGCGCGACCTGTCATTGGCCTATGATCACGCCAGCGATGGCGATCTGACGCATTGATGTGGTTGAAGCTCAAGTCCTATGATATGTTCCTAATAAATAAATATACCCACTAACCGGCTATTCTTAAATCACTGCAGATAACCGTTTTATTCTGAAAAATAAATAAATTATAACTAAAAAAAAAGAAAACAAAAAAGACAATTCCAATTAATTTAAAAGACAATGCCGAAAATTGGCGTCTTTTTTTTTTGCGCGGCCATCGACCAAACCTTGTTTTTTGATTACAAAATAATGTAATAAACCAAACTTACTATGACATGTACCTATACCTCTAAACTCAGTCTGAACTGAGTTACGAGCATTAGAAGTTTGATGATTTTGCATACTAGATTTGCTTTTTGCGCACAAGTTTTGTATGAAATTGCAACAAAATAGTGACATTGTATGTGTAAACAAACAATACCATCCATTAAAGGCTCCAGGCATCAGTGTGGAGTAGAATCAGCGCAATAAAAAAATAGCGGAATATTTTGTTGCAATTTCTTACAAAACTTGCGCGCAAAAAGCAAATCTAGTATGTAAATCATCAAACTTTTAACGCTCGTAACTCAGTTCAGACTGAGTTTAGAGGTATACATGTCATAGTAAGTTTGGTTTATTACTATTTTGTAATCAAAAAACAAAGTTTAGTCGATGGCCGCGCGAAAAAAAAAAAGACGCCACCTTCCATACAAAATCTGGCATTGCCATTTAGTTAGATAATTTACAGGTCCAGCGCTTAACTCAGTCAGTATGAGGGCTATCGTTTTTATACTTAACAGTTGGCACCCCTGGCGATTGACAGGACCTTACTCTACAGTGGCGCCATCTTGATGAGTGCAAATGCGATAGTCCTCCTACCACTTTCGCGTTCACCAGTTGGTGCCACTGTCTTCGCTACTAGCAAGTGACAGGACCTTACTCTACAGTGGCGCTAACTGGTGAGCGCTAAAACGATAGCCCTCATTAAAACGTTCCAAATCACTTACGAATCTATTGTCTCCTTTGTCTTTCGGACGAGGCTTCGGTGACCCTGGTTTCGATCTAAAATGTAATCAGAAATATGTAATAAGTAAATAACAGTCTCCACTCACTATTGATCGAATCATGAGGATCCGCAGGAGAACCAAAGTGACCGACATAGCCCGCATAATTGCTAAAATCAAGTGGCAGTGGGCGGGGCACATAGCTTGCAGAGCTGATGGCTGATGGGGCAGAAAAGTTCTTGAATGGCGACCACGGGCCGGAAGACTTAGCCCAGAACAGACGGTGAAACGCAACTGCAACGAAACTGCAACTGCTGACGCGTGAAACTTTCAAACGGGTCGCGTCTTGTGTGGTCTCTCAACGGACGCTATGGCAGAAACTTAGATGCAACTCAAAAATAACTAGCAGTTGCAGTTTCGTTGCAGTTGCGTTTCACCGTCTGTTCTGGGCCTTGGTGGGCAGGCCCCACACTAGTGGTAGGTGGACCGAGGATCTAGTGAAGGTCGCTTTTAAAAAGCACTTTTACACGTCCCAGGATTTACCCTACCACTGTTTTGGGACAATAAATGGGCCAGTGCTGAGAAGAAGCTACGCAAGAAACTCAGTGGCCGATGAGGCAGCAAGTATGGAGGCCGCGTACCGGAAAACGCAGCGTGAGACGTCCACCTACAAGGTGGACCGACGACATCGTAAAGGTAGCAGGGAAGCGCTGGACGCAGGCCGCTACCAATCGATCAACGTGGAAAGCATTGGGGGAGGCCTATGTTCAGCAGTGGACGTCCTATGGCTGAAATGATGATGATGATGATGAAGAAACTCAGTCACTAATTAGCCTCTTTTTCAAGTGTTTACAGACTTTACGCCTACATAGTTATAAATATCGATGCAAGCTAGCATAGAATTCTCGTGAGCCATATGGAGGGGAGAGGCCAAAAATAACCCCTAGATACGCCAATGGTTGATACCATAGAGATGGTAGAGAGATGCCAACTAATGCGCTGAGTTCGAAACCCAGTGTCGCATTAGAAATTCACACACACAAAGTAATCAAAATAAAAACAATACGCACCTTCGGTAGAACAAGGGCACAATTGCACTTTTTGCAATTTTACAGGAGAGCTATTTTAAGATTTTTATTGGATTTAATATGGTCTAGCTCTGATTATATTCTTGTAAAGTGATCCACCTTTGTATGACATAAACTATATACTATATACATTTTACGCGCATTGCTTGCAAGAATAAAAAGCTTTTAGTTTTTTTTAATATTAATTTTCTTTTCAAGGAGGGGGTTCATTTATGCCCTTGTTCCACCAATATCTAAATTATTTTGTAGTTATGACCAATTTGAGCTTTAATTTAGGATGATGTTGGAATAAAAATAAGCAGTGTTTTTGCATAAATAATGTATTTTTTTTTATTGATTTTAAAGCGTGTAGTAACTTCACACAAAAAAGTGAATAAAACTTAGAGATAACATGACTTTTTAGTATCTATCTATAGAAAAGCGGAAGGATATAGACTCACTCATCACAAAATGTCAGAAACTATAACACCTACAAACTTGAAATTTGGCAGGTAGGTTCCTTATAGGGAGTAGATATCCGCTAAGAACGGATTTTACGAAACTCCAACCCTGAGGGGGTTAGAGGTACACGCGTACGAAGTCGTGGGTGGCCGTTAGTTCTTTAATCAATCTTCGTTCGTTTCAACCAAATGACGTCCACTGCTGGACAAAGGCCTCCCCCAAGGTTTTCCATAATGAACGGTCCTGCGCTGCCCGCATCCAGCTTCACTCTTTTATAACTACTGTTCCAAAACAAATTTACTTAGCAAAACTCTGGAAATACGCTCGTAATTACTTATAAAATAATAGAATTTTTATAAAAATAACATAAACTTAACAAAAAAATAGTCTCTTTATGTTTTATTCAGTACCTACACTATTTTTAATTATAATTTAATCCTTCCATAATGGATTTTTAGTTACATTGTTAAATTCCTAAGCACATTTTTTGGAATAGCACTCGACTTTAAGACCAAAGAATAAAAAAAAGTTGGACGGACAAGGGCATAACTGTCTGAACGACTTTTTCCCTCCCATTTTTTAATTACTTACTAGGCATAAGTGTGATAGATGTGGCCTTGTCACTCCAGAAACCAAAAACATTAAAGGGCATATTTACCATTGCGGCGTTAGCGCTCCAAATGACAAGTACTTCATTCCCCGCTGACGGCGCAACTGACCAATGAGACTTTGTCGCGTCAGAACAGTAAAATAAAAGCGCCAATAAGACAAAGCCGCTATTTGCCCCTGACGGTTTTTTGAAGGAATTAAACGGGTGTCTTTGTCTCAACAGTTGAAAACACATTTTTAAAGTATTTCTGCATACTTAACTCATTTTTGCAATTTTTGACAATTGTGCCCTTGTTCTACCGAAGGTGCGAATACGTCACGAAGAGTGTGTGTCATGCACACATTCACTGGTGTTTACTTATAATATGACGTCGCTGCTGTCTGTTTTTGGGCATATTGCTGCGACACTGGCCCCGCCCCCTTTTCACATCTCCCTTTAGTTTCTGTGTTCTATTGTTGATACGAACCCATGCTTCCTCTCAGTGACGACTGGACAGTTCATCTGCATTAGCAATTCTTGCGTGACTTCCGTGGTCATACCCATCTCTGAAATAACATAAAATCTATAATAAAAGCGAAAGGTCACTGATTGACTGACTGACTTACTCACTCATCACGAAATCTCAGAAACTACAAGTGCTAGGAGTCTCAAATTTTGCATGGGGGTTCCTTTTATATTAGTACGTAGTAGGTGCTTACTAGGACGGTATTTTGCAAAATTCAACTCCTAATATGAGGCTAAGATCTAGTTAGGTAATGTATCCTAGATAAAGAAAATTATGTAATAAATAAATAAATAAAAAAGTATTTATTTCAGGCATACTTAGCCCATAAAAGTGTTAGTAACAAAGGTCTTATAAAGTATGTAATAAAATGAAGAAGATTTTACTTACCAATACTCTCCTTTTTGAGATCCTTTGATTGCTGAAATAATTTAATTTAGTAAACTGATTTGGCAATAAATAACAAATACTTAAGTGTCATACAAATTATCAAACGACCAGACCATGTATTTAATATGGACTTACATTCTCAAATACTTCTCTGCCAATCTGTAGCGCTAGTTCTGTTGATAGGGCCACGCCAGTGTTACTGAAAAAAGAAAAAGTAATAATAATAATAACTAACACCTATTTAGGCAGGTACAGTCAGCTTCAAACAGTTGAACAGTTCGTGACACCCAAAGTAACCAATAAGTTCGCAACGCGTCTTTGTTAATAAAGTTGTGTTATCAATATTTGGGCCACTTTGTCACGAACTTTTTATTTGACGCTGACTACAGTCCATGGGTCACATTACACATAACTGCCCATTGCAATGGGCACCACGATTGCAGGAGAGTGGCACTGTTCAGTCACAGTATATACAGGGTGTTAGGTAAATGGGTATATGAGCCGACACTAGCCCATGTTAACATGGTCATATAAATGGTATGGTGAAGTCAGAAATTTGATATCATCATTTTAATTTTTTTAATTTTCATACAAAATACATTTTATAAAATCCGATTTGTATGAAAATTAAAATACCTAATTAAAATGGAGATATCAATTTTCTGACTTCACCATACCATTTATATGCCCATGTTAACATGGGCTAGTGTCGGCTCATATACCCATTTACCTAACGCCCTGTAGAAAAGGACAAAATAAATAAATAAATAATGTGGTTGTATTTACCTAGTGATTTGGAATATGCCCTGTTGGATAATCGCGTCCAGTTCATTTTCCATGTCTCGTACTAATCTTACATCTGGGAACATATCCGGGAATCGATAGCTGGAACAAAACAATTAGTTTCCTAATTAAGTCGGTTGATTTTAATTCAGACGATAAATTACATTATTATTTATCAGGTGCCTACTCTTTTTGAACTTGAACAGAAGACCATAAAATTCGTAAGTTAAAAGTTAGTCGAAAATGGCTAAGGCTGGGTTGCACATCTTCAACTTTAACAAACGTCAAAAATCTGTCAAACTACATACAAAATATACCGGTTATCGTTATAGTCACGGTTAAAGATAGGTGGTGCAACTCAGCCTAAATGTAACTTCTATTGACAAGATCGAAAAGTAACTTTTTATAATCGACCATCCATATGTACCGTTGTACGAGACGGCAGAATGTTGTTCCTTACCGCATGGCCTAAAGTCTTAAAAGTCGAAAGAAAGAAAGAAAGACGATCACGAAAGTAAAACAAAGATTGCCTCACCTCAACCACAAATAAAGTTCAAGCACGTCGAATACTGACTCCAGGTGGACCAGGTCCATAATGGTCTTTGGCGAAGGCAGCGGCCAATCCACTGCGTTGCACAGCCAGTTTCTCGTGATTGGGTCGTTGCGGCTGTACTGACGGACCATCTAAGGACAAACGAATACAGAGTCAAGTACCAGAAGCGAGCATTTGACAGCGATGATACTGTTCTGATGATGATCAGGTCATTTAGCCTCCATTTGCAGGAGGGCGATTCTCTCTAATTTACTAGGGGAGAAGGGATGATTTGTGGGCAATGGCCAAACAGCTTGAGGTTAGCCTGACCTATTGGATATCCCAATTTTGAGAAGTCAACTAATTTCGATATTTTTTTCGAAACGGATTGGCGACTATAGTGACTAGTCTGTTAAACTGAACATTTCTACATAGTTATCACACTTGTTAATAACTGAGTTGTAGGCCAAGGATGTCATGAAATTCAAAGTAACTTTTAATTCACAGTAACAATAAAGTAAACTTTGTCGATCACGTGTGATATACAGAGCCGACTGCCATTCATACTTCATACATAGGGTTTCTGCTCGAGCTTTCTCGAACTCGAGAAAACTCGAGAAATTTGGCTTCATTCGAGACGAGAAAAAAATTACCGGAGCTCGAGAATTCTCGAGTTTCGATTTTGAAGCTTTAATATTCTTGAAAGCCTATTTTCTTACACAAAAGTAAGTTTTAAATTATTTAATAGGTCAACGTTGCTTTTAGACTGGCCTAGTCTTTCCTTTTTTAACTGATTTAATTTCTCAATCGAAACTAAGTAATAATAATGTTCATGTTCACCAACGAGTATATTTATTATGTATTTTTAACTCTGACTGATTTAAAGACTGAAAAATTTGTTAACTAGACAGTAACTTTACCTAACAGACGTTAGGTTAGGTACTCGTGCCTCCTCGTAAAGTTTATTTAAGTCGTTATCAGTAAGAAATTTAAAAATCTATTAAATAGTTTTTTTGTTCATAAAAAAAAACTATTTATCGTAATTTTGCTATTAATTTGGACTTGTGTTCTTTAGAAAACAAGTGATTCAATTGTAGCTCCAGATTTTTATTGTTATTTATCCTTAATGTACACGCGACTTTATAACTTTTGTTATGATTTTAGTAAATATTAATTATGAAAGAAGATTTTATTTTTTGTTTCTTTCCTTACCAAAATAAGTGGTACTAAATTCTAATATTGATTGTTGTGCATAAAAGTAGGTATATTAGATTAAAAAACCTGTGTTTTTATGAAATTTCAACCGATTTCAGCAGTTTTCATTAAAAGACTCGAGACCCGAGAAAACTCGAGACTTTGGCCTCGAGAATTCTCGAAACTCGAGAAAAAAAATAAGTCGAGAAATCAGAAACCCTATTCATACACCATTCATCCTTCAAATATCAATGTCGTGTCCACGATAAGCGTGATAAGAAAACAGTCAAAGATGTATTGCCATGGCCTAAAAGAACCTAAATAGTTTCCATATTTTGATGAGAAATAACATAATTAATTATTGCAGCATATAAATTATAATTATGACGTGACTTACATAATCTTATCTAACTTATTTATTATACATTTTATTAGCAGCAATTAACCTCTCACATGAGATCAAGAAAGCAATATTTTTATGAAACATTGTAGTAGTTCAGTTAGTTTTAGATATAATTAATATTTAAAATAAGTTCAGCTATAGCCTTGTATACACCACTAAATTTTAATCACCGAAAAAAAAAATTCTGGGTAATGAGTTATTGATACTGATCCCATTTGTGCAAAAAAAAGAGTAAAATAAAGTGACTCAAAATATCCTCCTAAAATTGGTAATTTATTGACACACGCGTCGCTAGCACTATTTAAGTACGATAATGTAACACTTATTAAAATTAAAAATGGTCTAAGTTAGCTAAGTATGTAATAATAACACTGGAAGCGTGGTCGAGGCGTGAGCGAGACAGACAGATCGATGCAACGTGCGAGCGCGTACGACTACTCTAGCGAGCAGCGGAGTGACCTAGCTGTGACGCGTAAAATACAGACTAACGAAAATTTAATAAAAAAATTAACTTCATGAAAACCATTTCTTTTTCTTTTGCTTTCAATATTCCACACGTTTCTACATAACCTGTCAAAAATTTTTCGGTGATAAAAATTTAGTGGTGTATACTAAGGCTGCCTGTCCACTCCGGCGGTCGACGAAAACGATTGCTTAAGATCTCCGCTCGCTGCAGTGGTCAGGGATTTGCGAACTAGATTATAAAGGCATACGTTTAAAATAGCGCAAAGCGCAAGCGCGCACTTTAAGGCTAAGAACTCACGGCGCGATTTTCACCCGCACCCGCGGCGGTTGTGGAATTGCGGTTTTATTTCAAAACTCACGGGAATTCATCAATCAATTTAAATCGCGCCGCGTGCTAAGTCACTGGTACAAAATGGTCGCCGATCGGGCGGTTTTGGCGCGGGCGAAAACCGTCGAGTGGGACCCGATTACAACCGCGCCCGCTGCGGGAGAAAACCGCGTCGTGAGTTTGTGCATTAGTTTTTACATAAGTATCTGCATTCTACAGAAGCTGCGGGCCCGCAACCGCCGCGGGCGCGGTTGAAAATCGCGCCATGAGTTCTTAGCCTAACACAATCTTTATTATCTCTGCTCAGCATTTATTTATTTATTTTGAGCATATGACTGTCATGACAGGAGGTCCCATTGCGACAGTGAAGTAAACTCACTCGCTTCGCTTCGCACCCATGCGATCGTCTCCGCTAGACTGATCGCGTGTCTCGTGTACTAGTGTCTCAAACTCACCTTGAGGAATGTGGCACAAACGAAGGGAAACTTGTTGTTGATGGGCGCGCAGCAGAACACGTATCGCGCCCGCAGCGGAAGCGGAACGTGTTGGATCATCTCTGCTAGGAACTTGAACGCTTCTGTGTGACCGCGTACTAGTGTCTCAAACTCACCTTGAGGAATGTGGCACAAACGAAGGGAAACTTGTTGTTGATGGGCGCGCAGCAGAACACGTATCGTGCCCGCAGCGGAAGCGGCACGTGTTGGATCATCTCCGCTAGGAACTTGAACTCTTCTGTGTGACCGCGTACTAGTGTCTCAAACTCACCTTGAGGAATGTGGCACAAACGAAGGGAAACTTGTTGTTGATGGGCGCGCAGCAGAACACGTATCGTGCCCGCAGCGGAAGCGGCACGTGTTGGATCATCTCCGCTAGGAACTTGAACGCTTCTGTGTTGCACATGAAGTAGAGGGAGTCATCCACTGTACAGAGGTGGACGAATATGTCCTGTAACAAGGGAAATAAATACTTTTTATTAGCCATTCAGCTCTGCTTCGCGTCAGTGAAAAGATAACAGAGATCCGAATTATTATGTATAACTAGTTAACTAGCTTTTACCCGAGGCTTCACCCGCGTGAAATTTCGTTTGTCACAGATCATAAATTATAGCCTTAATGTTATTCTGGGTCATAAACAATAATACTGTAAAGTTTCATCAAAATCCGTTTGGTAGTTTTTGTATAAAAGAGTAACAAACATCCAGACATCCTAATTTTCGCATTTATAATATTAGTAAGACTAATTGATGAACAGAAGTCTTAAATCCAGACTACTTGTAAAATTAGTAGAATGAAAGACTTGAAAAACTTTAACGATTGACATAAATGTAAGTTCTGCTTCATAGCACAGCTCCGCTCTTCTTACCGCATCAATGTACTCGCACCCTTCTATTCGCAGACCACCGACTTTGTTGGTCGATAGTTGGGTCGGGCTGTTAATCAGTATGGGCATGTAAGGAAGTGCGCACATTACATCGGGCGATTTTTCATACAGATTAGAGTCGGGCGGGCCCAACTATCGGCCGACTAAAAGTCTGTATTCTTCGGGGAGTCTAAGGGCCCTGTCTCATTAGGATTTCATTGCGACTAATACTGCTGCAACCGAAAATTTAGCTTAGAACTATAACTTGGGAGGTCAAGGCACCAAGTGGCACGACCGATCGCGCCATAATAAGTAATCTGAAAATACCCACTTACCATAAGGCTGCTAAGACTAGCATGAGGTAGGTGGTACGCATACAACTCCATCTGCTCAGCAGTTGGGTGCAGGCCGGCCTGCGTCACCGGTTCAGGAGGCTTCGATAGCAAAGTCTTCAGCGTGGCCAAGTCTTCCGACTTGAATGTCGTGACGTAGCCGGTTTCCCAGGCGCTACCGTAGCGGCCAGCGCGACCTATGTTGAAACATGACGTAAATTATGTAGGATCAACTTTATTAAATGTATAAGAAAGTCTATGAAGATGTTTAGGCATCGGACTGGGATTCGAGAGGACTCTAGTAGGATCGCCATCGATCGATATTGAGCAGAACAGTCATATTAAGTAAGAGGAAGATTAAGAATTTGTAATAGGCTAGTTTCCTAAAAAAAATTTCTTAGTCCGTCAATTTTAATATAAAATAAATATTGGACACGTACTCGTATATTTTTTATTGTCAATCAAACAAATAATTGCAAAGTTATAGTGCGTTGAAGTTCCGCGCGACGTCATAAAGTGCTGCACTTTTACGCACTTACTGACGTAACGGGCCTTTTCTTTAGAACTTTGGCACGCTTTATCACTTTACATTTTCATTCGTTTTAAAGTGAAAAATACGTGTCGAGTAGTTTTTGATTAGCTAACTGACGGACTAACTAAAACTCTTGCTTTTTTACCCAGGAAACATCCCTATTCTATTATCAAAAGGTTTGAGTATTTGCGATAGGTATTCGATAAAAAAAATGGTAGTTCGGCATTTGAAAAACCTACTAGTCTTACAAAAATATTGGCCAAATCAGAAATTCTACAAAACTAGACCTACTCACTATTTGACTTCGTGATTTAAAGACATAACGCCGAAAAGTTATAAACGTGTATCTCATCATATTCAATGTTAAAAAAGTGATGAATTTCAAACGCAATAAGTGAGTCAGGAAGTGTGAATAGAATTGAGATGCAGAAATAATTATGTTCGTCTCACCCGCTATTTGCAATGCTTGAGATATGCTAATAACGTCCATCTCTTTGTCGCCATCTTCATTCACTACTGGTTTTATTAGAGAATAGAATATTATCCTTCTTATACTCCTATAAAATACACAAACATGTTAGTAACAAGAAATAAATACTTTTAAACTTAAATTTTTTATATTAGCTTTCAAACTACAAGTCAGTTGCGTACCTAATAATATTCAGGTCATAGCACATTTATCAACCCGGAAAGGGATCGTACAGATTTTAGCCACGCTAGCAACAGCGAGGACACGTTACGTTGCCTTGCAGTACATATTTTAATACAAAGAATACTCCCGCCTCGAGTTGATACGGTTACGATCCGTTTCCGGGTTGATAAGTGTGCTTCGTCTTTTCATACGATCTAAATATCAATAAAAATATTACTTACAAATTGATTCCAAGTCCTATAGCATCTGTGGCCACCATAACTTTACATGAACTATCGGGATCATTGAATTTATTGGCTTGGGCTAACTTAGTCCCTGGAGGTAGACTTCCGTATATCACAGCAACTTCATGACCTCTAAAATGGAAGAACTCTTTTATGTTATTCATGTCTTAAAAATATCCTGCATAGGGTTATTCATTTTGAAACATGCTAAGTAATTGGGACAAAACAAAAGCTGCTCTAATGGTCTTTCATGACAGTTTATTGGTTAAGTTCCAACTACATCAACTACTATTTGAAAGTTCATTATCATTTTGTCTGTTTTATTATGTACTATCGGTACCGTGCTATCGGCAACAGTGTTAACTACCCATTGCCGGTCATGTCGTCTCGTTCTATCGCAAAGAATCACCATTTGATGACAGCGAGAGCAAAAATTGAAATGGATAGTTAACTGTCGCCGTGTGTACTTATTAATCCGTGAAAATAAAGTTAGTGTCTTATTGCTTCTAAAAAAAACTTTTTTCCGAATTCCAATAAGATTCCATGCTTGGAAGTGCACATTAAGTTGTATCAAATGCCTATAGCACTTTTTCTGAAGGGGGCGTGGCCTCAAGTGATGGCTTTATGCGAAACAAAGCAAGTTGAAATACATCGGAATACGTAAACAAATAAATTGCCATGAAAGACTGAATATTGTCTAAGATTGGATACCTGCCTCAAGGGACTGACCTCTGTTCTATGGCTCGACTTACACTGTAAATATCGTTCTTGTTGAAACACACGATACAGTCGCCTGGCATCACGTGGTCTAGTGAACCGAGCGCTGAGTCTTCCACTTTTAACTCTGTCAGTCTTTTGTATGTTCGGACCTAAAATATAATGTCAATAATTTATAACTACTGTTGATTTATTAAGACTACTGGATTCATCTGTCGCAACAATTGTAATGAATATTATAGGGTATCTGCGCAGTGTGCGCCATAAGTAATTATTTCTATGAAATACGTAACTATAGCTATATACAGGGTGTTAGGTAAATGGGTATATGAGCCGACACTAGCCTATGTTAACATGGTCATATAAATGGTATGGTGAAGTCAGAAATTTGATATCATCATTTTATTTTTTTTTAATTTTCATACAAAATAAATTTTATAAAATCCGATTTGTATGGAAATTAAAACAATTAAAATGAAGATATCAATTTTCTGACTTCACCATACCATTTATATGACCATGTTAACATGGGCTAGTGTCGGCTCATATACCCATTTACCTAACACCCTGTAGATAAATCTGCGGCACCGCAACAACGTATCATGTGTACAACCCAGTCGAGTTAATGCGCACCTCACTGGAATACGTTTCTCCCTCGCACTCAACCGCAGACCTTCGCCTCGTTCGTACCAGAGCGTCCATGTGACGTCACAGCCGCCAGGTGAGCAGTGAACTCGAACCAGTTGTAGTGTGTCCCTGCACTTACTACTATTTACTTACTCTATCTAAGACAACTACAGTCGCGGAATGAAAAGGTTCGTCACCTTAGTGTCGGTTTTCGCTTGCACTAATAGGTACTGTGAGAGTCAAACCTGCCAACATAACAGTGCAAGAAACAGTGCTGCTAACATTTAAATAAATATGACGTTTGCTAACGAATAAGGTTTTGCTTGTTTATTTTTCTATCCCATCAGTGCAATGCAATGATGATATTGACCAATTGACAATAGTTTTTTTTATTTAAAAGAAATAATAATGGCAGTTTGAACCAACAAGAAGGTTTTAGTTTATCAATCATAATAATCTTCTTGACAAGATAAATCGTCAAACAATTTTGATCTGAATAATTTTGAACTTTACTGACGAACAGTTAAAGATTATTTTCTCTAACTCGAGATTATACTGTAACATAGTTTCAAAAGGTAATATGTGCTCGCGATTCGTTGAAGGAATCAATTTGAAAACTGACGAACCTTTTCATTCCGTGACTGTACAATATTATTTTTAAACATGAAACATACCTCAATTTCTTCACCAGTAGTATTACATATTTCTTCTATGAGATTTATTGCTCCTGCTTCACCACATAAATGTATTTCGTCAGCTTGGAGGCCTGTAAAACAAGGAAGAAATAAATTATTTGTTTACTAGAAAACAGATAGTATTATACAGGGTAAAATTTATATCATTGGCATCCTTTTAAAATAAAGACTACTCATGATACATCATTTCACCCTGTATTTTAATTTACAGTAAGTAATGAGTTCCAAATAATGAAATTACCTAAGATAGCTCTTGTCCATGCCCAGCCTCTGCCTCTGTCTCCAATCATTTGAATTTCATCTATTATAGCTACTTCATCTGAAACCCAACATTCTAAAGTTACTAAGTATACAATCGTAAAAATTAAGAGCCAATAAACTAAGGTTTGCCATTCAAAGGGCTAAAAATTCAAGAATACAAAACATAAACTCAGTCTCAATTCTATTTCAAGCTTGTATTGAAAGTTTTCATTACTTATACTTACCTATCACCAGACAATCTAATGAGATTAAATTGAATTTGAGTTTTGTTTTGGACTAAAATTACTAAAAGAACTACAATTATGCCTTTCAGCCAGTTCCTTACAATTATTATTAAGTGAGGTCATTTCCACAGTGCAGGCTACATGTGAAGAAGGTGTGAGCTCTGCTTCATCAAGCAATAAAGGCTCAGATTCTAAGGGCTCAGCAGTCTCTTCTGTGACGCCTGTAACCGTGGTATACTGGGACGCATGCCTTCTTTCTTCTCCTGTTATCAGATCACATGCTGTTCCCTAAAATTGTATGTTTTTATTAAATCAGTGTGTGACTTGGAAAAGAGTGGAAGCAGATAAAGGAATGGAAAAGTAAAAATAGGTTATTTATTTTATTTATTTTTTAGAAACCAACAGCAATACATTGAAAATGTTAGCTATAAGATTTAGACTGATAGTACAGCCGATGACAGGTTTCCCTTTTTATAAAAGTAAAGAAAAGAAAAGGAGTAGCAAAGGATTTATAGTACAAAAACGACAATGTGTAACACAGTATCCTACAGAATATTTTTTTACAAGCTTTTTATTACTTTCACATGTCTGGTGTCTGTCGTCAAATCTTGCAACTTAAAATTGACCCACTTCCCGGTTTTCTATTGAGCTGGAATTTTGCATGCATGTGTAAGTCGGATGACAATGCAATATTATGATGACACGGAGCTGATCTGATGATGGAGCTGGAAGGTAGTCATAGGAACTCCGCAATAAAACGACACAGGCCTATCGAGTTTGGGCTCGTTTAATTTGTATTGACGAGAACTATAATCCTGTATGGTAACCATTAGGGTCTGATGATGGAGCCGGAAGGTGTCCGTCCAGTCCATAGGAAATTCGCACTGAAACAACACAACCTCGTCGAGTTTTCGAGTTTGGGCTCGTTTAATTTTTATTGACGAGTACTTTAATCATAGATGGTAACCATCAGGGTCTGATGATGGAGCCGGAAGGTGTACATAAGAAATTCGCACTGAAACAACACAACCCCGTCGAGTTTGGGCTCGTTTAATTTATATTGACGAGTACTTCAATCCTACATGGTAACCAGGGTCTGATGATGGAGCCGGAAGGTAGTTCAAGGTAGTCATAGGAAATTTGCAATAAAACGACACAATGTCATCGAGTTTGGGGGCTCACACAATAGTCGTGCGGCATCATGGATCAAACTTGTTTGAATCTTACTGCTGTTGTTCGTATGAGACTGGTTAGTTAGTAAATCACCCTAATTATTGACACCTAGCTCACAAGATAGGCTAAAATTATAATAATTGTACAGTGTGTCTGGTCACCAGTAGCGCAGTAATATGATCAATTTAATCGACAAATCCAGTATAAAAAAATTACAGCTATTTTTTTTTTTTTTAGTTTCTGAGTCCGGATGGATTCATTTATTTACCAAATCTACTGATGTACAGGACCTATGAGTATAAAAGTGATTCGTTCGACAGCTGAAAAAGTAAGCAATACGTTGTCATCAAAAGCTTCCATTTAAATTTCTTAGAAACACTTGGTAAAAAAAATGATGCTTCTTTTTAGATTTTTCAATGTTACAAAAAACTAGAAAGTTTTACATTTTTAGATGCCCTAAGTCATTACCTAAAATATGATATACCTTGGCTTTAAATCAACTAGTCTAGGTGCTAGCTACACAGGAGATGCAGCGGTGAAAAGAAGAGGTGGGAATAGTCGAGTGCATTACCGCAGCAAAATTTTTATAAAGGTTGTGCGATAAGAGAGTCGAGAGTATACCAGATAATTAGTCCATCGTGAGCAGAAATTTGTCCACTAATATACAAAATTCGTTCAAATTATAGTTTTAAAGTTATTAGGAAAAAACACATTTTGCTGGGGTAATGTTTGAAACATTACTGCTATACTCTAGACTCTCTAAAGCACAACATTTATAAAAATTTTGCTGCGGTAATGCACTCGGGAGCTGAGAGCTGAATATGAATATTATGAGGGTGTATAAAAAATAATATGTCATAATCACTAACGCTGCGCCTTAACCAAAATGTTTCAATAAATTTCAACTTTTCAAACCCGCATTAGAAATACTAAAAAGTCGAAAATAAAATTAAATAAAAAAATATTTTTCAAAAACAAGCTTTTAATGCTCTAAAAAGAATAAAATAAAACAAACCCATCAACTTATTACTTTACTCAATTTATATGATTAAAAGCTTGTCGCGAGATTTACTTGTATAAAAATACATTAAATACGTAACTTGATCTTGCTAAAACTTTGATCTTAGAAAAAAATCAAATAGTTAAATACATACATCTAGTAAATCTCGCGACAAGCTTTTAATCATATAAATTGAGTAAAGTAATAAGTTGATGGGTTTGTTTTATTTTATTCTTTTTAGAGCATTAAAAGCTTGTTTTTGAAAAATATTTTTTTATTTAATTTTTTACTTTGCTTTGTCTTCACAACTACTCATTGTTTTTCATTAATCATCATCATCACAATTAGTACCAACCAAAAAGAGGACACCTGCTATCAAGGATTAATAATGTAGCTTTTGAGATTATCACTTACCCTCTTATTGGACTTATGATATATTTCAGTTGCCAGTAACTTTAAGGGTCCACAATATACACCGGATTTTGCTGTCAAGAATCTCTCCATAGCATGGTATGTTTTTCCAGAATTTGTGGGGCCAGCATGGAAGACAACTTTTCGGTTCATACTACGGGCTTCTTGGTACCTATTATAAATAACAAAAGAATGAAAAAGTCTGTAAAGGCTGTAAAGTCCAATAAGAAATTTAAAAAAAAAAACTAACAAAAAGAAAATATGACAAGTGTAGTCTGTTTATATAATGGATTGAATTTTTTCTATTGTCTTGTCTCTCCCTTAAAAATGATTTAATCTGCTTGAATCACAGGTGATCCATGAGGTATGCAACCTTTATATTACCAGTTTGCAGGAGTTCTCAGATCAGATATTTTCTTCAAATCATCCAAGCAATCTAAATGTGGGAAAGCTAATCTTGCATGTCGTAAAAAGTATGGGAATAAGTCATCAACATGTCCTGCACCTAAAAAAAATGAAATAAAAGAAGATTGATAAAAGGGTACAAAAATATACATATTAATCCTTCAAGCTCCGCGAATCCAGACACAATAGATAATCAATTGTTACGCGGTAGCCGGCTAATGCTTGGGGGCTGAGAGGTTAAAAATTTATGAGGCAATCACACCAACCTTGTAAAATATCACTAATTGTTATATGTAAATCTGGTGGCAAATCGTGCTCTAAACAATGCCTTCTAAAAGACAAAAATGCCTGATGGAGTAATTGGTCATCCAGTCCATTTTCAGCAGACAAAACTCTTACTTCAGGTTTCTGATAGAACTTGTTTAGAATTTTGAGTAAATCCTGCTTCTTCAGGCGCCCAGTGAATTCTTCACCTATATTCATGTCATCTGGATTAGGTTTTACGGGAACCGGTACAAATAGGGCCGAAGGATTACTTCTATCATGTTTTTTGGTTCTCACAAAAATATAACCTATACTTCCGAGTTTTCCTTTCCGTGAGCACAAAACTGAACTTCTAAGACATGGTGAAATACAAGACTGTAATCTTTCCGAATGAGCTAATATACGTGCAAAACCTTTGTACATTTTGTTATTTAAATTGAAGATCAAAAAAAATATTCCACTACGAATTTTTTCCTTCACATTGCCATTTTTGACATTTGTTTGGGAATGTTCTTAGTACTCTGTGAACTGGGAAATCGTGAAGACCACAAGCAAAATCAATTTTCAACACTCCGAAACGATTATCTACCGAACGCTCAGAGCGATTGTTTCAATTTTATGAATAACAGAAACATGCTATAAATTCAGAATTACAATGAGCTGTAACTACATAGCTTAGGAGTGAAAACTAGATCGCGCAGCGAGAGTTGAGACGATGATAGTCCAGTTGGTAGCGGCCTGAATCCAATCCATTGTCTTCATTCTACCTTTTTATGAGTCAATTTGGAAATCATTGGGGGATTTGGGCGAGATTTATTTAGAAGATTTACTTTAAAAAGATGATGATGATTGCATAGTCCGGCTGATACGCGCTTGCACTCCGATTTCATTCCAACTGATGTGCATTTCATTATCTCGGTAAAGTTTACGCGCTAACAAAGGCGAAACACTTTCAAATTCAGTCCGTTTTGATACTAAAATTACTAAAACAGCAAATTAATGTTCGTGAATCGTAATGCATTTGACTTGCGTTTGAAAAATATAGCTTTCTGTCAGCTTTTATGTGAAGGCGCAGTTGCAATCCGATTACGTTTCAACTTCGTTCGAACTATCTGAGCCCCGATTACGGTAATTTTTAACGTCTCCAATCCAGACACGCTTCTCGATTCTGCGATACGATTGGTCGTTCAACAGCGTTCGTCTGGATTGTTGACGTTAAAAAATACCGTAATCGGGGCTCAGCGCAATCGGGGCCCTGCGCTTTCTGTTTGGAAGAGATGCAGCTAGTGTAAGCTGATATTTGAACTTGAACTTGAATGTGTAATGTGATATGTGCAGAGAGCAGAAATAACAGGAGTGGAACTGACAGGCAATCCCCTCTAGCAATGTATAGGTGTACCAGAATCTCATGGCAAATAGGGAAAATAAACTTTGTTGAGAGCAATACTGGGGAAATTGGAATAAACGATCTTGATACTATTTAATTTTTTACTTTATGACTTTAATATTAATGAACGTGAAGTACGAATATACATTTTAGGTAGGTATGTGTATGAAGAATGTTGTTATAAATAAATCGTATATTACTTAAAGTAACTAATTTTATTATGCACCATACTTTTATCACTTCATTCAGAACTAGAAAACGATTCTAAGAACTCCACTTGCATTTCTTGTTCTTCAATAGATGATCAAGATAAAGAGGTGTTGTAAATAAATTGTTCTTCCAACATTTCAATGGAGAAGTTTCCTGATGTTAAAAAAAACTGTATTTCTCTGAATGGGATTAAATATACCAAAACTAAAAAGACGATGAAGTTTTTTTTTTAAATCGATCTAGAAATGTCTGTGAAATTAATTATTTAAATTACCTACATACTTATTTTGGCGTGGAATTGGAACAGGTGGTGCCGTTCTTTTTGTATAAATGGCCAGGTCTGGTATATTTAAAAAAAGGTTACAAAATTTTACTAAGAAAGAATCTTGAGTGACTTAAAAAAATAGAAATAGATTTTAAAAAAATATGGATCTGTCAACAGCACTGGATCAGGGGTGATTTACTGTTTGTACCCCGAATGACTGTCGTGCGTGAATACACCGATCAAAACGTCGTGAATAGTTATGCGCAACTTTAGGGCCCTGTAACTTATTTATTTGTAGATATATTTTCATGATTCTTTCACAATAATTATTAGTTTTACTTATATTTATTTCAAGTTTATTTAAAAGAAAAAAATTGGAAACTTAAAAAATTATTCAATCTTGCTTGATGAAATCTTTTTCAATTTTCTTTACATGGTCATAACATTTTGACCATTCCTCTGCACCAATTTGTGAGATATACGTGAAAACATCGATAAAGCTGCTATTAAGTAAGAATAAAAAAACATAACACTCCTTCTGACGCAGTTGGGTAATAAGCTAAATGTATCAAACATTTCAGTCCAACTTACTGTCAACTCGACGGCGCGTTTAGAATCAAAGATTGACTTTGAATTGTGCCTTATTTTACAATTCACATTGAAAACAATATGACTTGCTTGAGCTTTTTCGACTTTTTCACAAAAATAACAAATAGTCAAGAAGAGATTACAAAATTTTTGCAGCGACTGACAGATTTCATAATTTTCTTTGACAGGTGACAATTAAACCATAGACAATTGCCATATGAAAAACACACTTTTCCAATATTTTTGTTTGCCATGAGATTCTGGTACACCTATAAGTAGACCAGTGGTTCACTCAGTTTATAAAAACTAGTTGCAGCGCCACCAATGACATATTCCAAATGTCACTATTGAAGAGTAACGTGCTGCGATAAAAATGGTGAATTGCAGTGTTTTTAATTGTAAGAAGGGATCTGAAACATCAAATCTTGAAAAGGACAACATTACATTCCATCGGTCAATATTATTTTATTTATTTCACATTAATTAATACACTAAATTTGCAAAAAACTAAATTTTTTTTNAATTACGAGCGAGCGATAAGGATGGGTAGCTAGGGGTCATTGGACAAAATTCTACGTGCTCACGGACCAGGCTTTAGTCTATAGCGCTTGTTAAAACATACTAAGCCGACTTAATTTGCCAAGCAATAAAGGTCTGTTATAAAAATTTGGTTGGTGATGAGAAGAAAAAGATACTCGTGCTTTCCTCACTTTTGTTCTGAGATACAATAGATGTGTTGACACCATCAATCAATTGACGTACTTTTAAAAACTGTCAAAACGAGACTCTCCCATATATTTTGTATGGCAATACAAGCAAGTGATGTCACTATTTTGTCAACTCAATTAAACTACTTTTTTCAATTAGAATGCAACCAAAAATCACAATTTAATTTTAAATTAATTAAGTTTTTAAGACCAAAATGAAGTGCCTTTTTAAAAATTTTGTGATTTAGAATTATTGGGGAATGGTGTCTAATAGTTTATTTATGAGATGTATGCGATGTTGGCATGTACTGTGTCGGAGTGTGTATTTTTTCGAAACAAACTATTTCTCATTTGAATGCGTAATACAGGCAAACGCGATCATTATAATTAGCTTGTCAATAAAATAATTTAGCAAGAAACTTAGCTATAGCCTGACCAGGAACATAAAAACCCTCGCCATGTTGCGGAAAACTAATGGTACTAATTTCTTTTAATGGCAACAGTAACTGAAAACTTCATTGACATGTCACCTTGCATGTCAGTCTATTGTTGTCAAAGTGTAATCGTGGCCAAATCGTAAAATTGATCACGTTATGATGATGTGACCAATTATTTTATAAAATGGTGTTATTTCAAGAATCGTTGAACCGATTTAGAAGAAATTTAGTAGGAACACAATAATTTTTGTGATCATGGCAAGGACATGTAGGGGGGGGGGGGTGATGCCAAAGATGCCAAACTCTCTCTTTGATGACATTACGGTATAAAGTTACAAATAACAACACCAACTACAAAGTACTTCTGCTTAAAAACTTGAAATCGAACCGCCCTTCCGCCACTGTAACGCATTGTAACGTTTTTCATGACCTCCTCTCCCCCTAGATTGCATTACGTAACACTAGAACGCCCCCTTAGCAACAAATACCACTTCTCACTAAAAAAAACGCTATTTTTGTTTTCACCCACCAGAATGGGTGATAATGGACCCAGTTTTAACCCAATCGGGTGAAATGGGTTTTTACCCACTAAGTACCCATCTCTAGCTGGGATTCGCTTCATGAATAGTTACGTTACAATCGTGCATTCATCAAACATCGATAATAATTATGCATTGATATATTTTGTTCAATATTTTTTTAGATGACCTTATTTTTTTTAGGAATAATGCCTTAGCTAAATCCAAAGTCTGGTAAAGTTTGGCAACTTGTGGTAAAACCTAATTTCCGTTTCCATAAGCCAATCAATCTTCGGTTCTTAGTCGGATAATTATATTTTTTGTTTGATTGCTTTTTGTATGACTGGATCTTCGTCATTTGGTTTCTGTAATTCTGGATTAATTGGTGCTTCATCGACTGATATTTCTTGTTTTATTGTTTTTTGTGTGACTGGCTCTTGGTCATTTGGTTCCTGGAATTCTAGTGGTGTTTTATCGACTGATTCATTTTGGTTTTCTTGATTCTGGTCGGCTTGTTTTGATTCTCGGATGGCTTTGAGCACGACTGGAAAAAAAAGTTGATGGTGTTAAAAAACTCGCGAATTTTCTTTTGCGAAGTTTGGTTAAAAGTTACTTTTTCGATTAATGAGGTTTAATTAGTACGTTACAGTCCCCGGCTGGTCAACCTACCACAAAACTAGGAATATCTCCGATATGACTTAAGTTCGCAAGCGATGACTTACCATGGGTGGATATTTCGTGCAAATATTTCCCATCATTAATGTCCCTAGCAATCTCATCTAAAAAGATTTTGTAGTTTTCGTTGGCGTAACGTTTCGCATAGATTTTTGCTATTTGGCTACCTTTAAGGTAGTAACTTTTGTCTTTCAACAGTTCTTTGAACCGCTTTGCCAGGACCAACCGGGTGACATGTGAAATATATTGAACTTCACTGTATTCCCGTTTTATTAAGTTTTTGTACCTTTTCATTACTATTAGGATGGGCAATATAAATCTAGGGTTCTTCGCCGGTACTTTTTTCGCAGAACTAGGAATTTGAGTCTTTCTGTTTTCTACCTCTTTTGTTTGAACCTTATTAGTGATTTCTTTACGTTTTTTCCATTCATATACTTTTGGATTCGAGGTGGCAATTCGTTTGGAACTACTATGAGTTCTAAAAGTAGTTTTTTCTTTTTGTTTCTTTGTAATGGTTTTCTTTAAGGTTTTATGACTTTTATGTTGTATTCTATCATTTAATCGTTTGAAAATATCATCCGTTACTGCTATAATATCTTGCGTGATTGCCTGAACGAGATTCGTATCAAATGAAGGATTGTTACATTGTTGATTACCTGTTTCCTTAACACCATCATTTTGAACAGTAGCCTTCAAAAAATTGTTAATGTTCTTCTCAGTTTCTGATAAATTTTCGTTTTCGGCTTTTATTACCTCACTTGTTTGAGGTTCTGGTCCAAGGTTTTCATTGTCTTCCACCTGACAAGTATTCGGACTGGGCTATAACAAAAAAATTAGT